GGATGGTAATTAACAGCTACTCTGCAACTACCTTTTTATGTTGCAAGCTTATTATTAAGCTACAACTGTAAGTAAGAACCACATTCATGTCCACCCAACATGCATCCATCCATCCATCCATATATTTCTTTTACATTTTGGTGGAATTAATTGATGCATTTTTATAGAATAAAACATTGACTTTAAAAGAATTGATATTAAAAAAGTATTTGTATTTATGAATTGTCTTTTAAAACTGAGTTAACAAAGATTTAATTTTATTCTAATAATGAAGTGAAATTACTTTCTAAGTATGAATATGTTGGATAATATGAATTTGCAGCCACAAAAAGACATTAGATGTGGTCTTTAGGAATTTATTTGCTATGTGTAATAATCTTTCAAGATTAACAAACCTCTTTGAAATCAAGCTTAAGTATAAAACTGATAAGCAATTAAGAAAAGTTTTTGTGGCCCTGCCAAGGAAGGAGAAAGAGATAGTCATTTTTTCAAAAAAACAAATTAAGCATATTATACGTGAAAAATAATTCAAAAATCGTATTCAAATAAAAGATGAATATTTAAACGATATTGGTGAAAGAATTTTAATATATATTAATACCTTAAAGAAGTATTATTTTTTTTACGTTTAATATAATATATATTTTACTTTCTATTAATAACTTATAAACAAATTCCCTTAATTATTTAATTGGTTACTGCGTGGTTCAATCTGGTCAAATTAACTGTTTTTTCCAATTCAAATATGAATAGAACAATTGGTAATTACATCAAACTAAAGAATTTTGGTTCATTTTGGGTTTAATGGTTCTTTTATTGAAAACTCATTCATTAATTTGAATCACCGTAAGTTCGTATAGTTTATGACTTTGAAATGGATGAACTTCTCTCGTAAATTTTTAACTAAAAATATATATACTCCTATAATAAAATTTCATTTTTTTTTTATAAAAACAGTGTAGTTAATTACTCATTTAAAGATTGAAATGAATATAAAAAAGAAAAATAATCATAAACTCGTCTTTATTACTATTAATATTGTTATTGTTAAAAAGAATGTAAGAAATAAATTATACTTTTAAAATAACAAGTTAGGGTGTTTAAAAATATATATATAGAACTGCAACTACTTACTTTCATGATTATTTTTAAACACTCTAATAACTTGTTATTTTAAAAGTATAATTTGTTTCTTATATTCTTTTAACAACAACAATAATAAGGTTAAATACACATGTGCTTATCATTTTATTATTTTGATAATAATATTTAAATATATAATAAATTATAATAAAAATAAAAACTTAACAAAATACTTATATATTTTTTTTGTCTAATACAGAATACTTATATAAAAGTTAAAATATATTTTTAAATTACAAAAATAATTAAAAAATATACGTCAACTATAAAACTAAATCCATGTTTTAACCTAATAATAACAACAACTCATCACCCACGGCGAAACAGAAGAATATTACTTGTTCTGAAAATTCAGAAATTGGGCCTAACCTATGGGTCCGAAAAAACTATCAAACGTGAGCCCAATTGGCCGAAAAAGATGCGTGAGCCCATTAGGCTTTTTCATATGAAAAAAGTTCGATTTGGTGACCAAAAAGAAAAGTTTCGTGTGAATTTTTTGAGAATTTCCTTTGATTTTAATATTTACATGTTTTCACAAAGCCATTAAGGAACTTATTTGAATACCACTGTAACGTTTTCTTAAATGATAGAGTTGTCCATCTTCAAGTTTTGTAGAGGCTCTGTACGTTATGCTTAACTTTTTTTTTTTAATTTTAAATTCAAACGTTTTAAAATTAATTATGCATATTTGTATATATTAGGAGATTTTTTAATAAAAAATTTAATTATATCTATATTTTAAAAGGGTTAGTTTTTAGTTATCAGTTTCGAGATTACTTCAAACAGTTAATTGAATTCTTCAAATAAACCATTTTACTGGACAAATTATGATGAGTTGAGTTAAATATATTAATAACTCTCTTGCATAACTTGCAGGTTAAGGCAGGTCAGTGGCAACAAGATAAGTTGAACTATTAGATCTCTCTCTCTCTCTCTCTCTCTCTCTCTCTCTCTCTATATATATATATATATATATATATATATATATATATGTCTGTGTGTGTTTTTTTTAAATTTCCTAATCATGGGGTTTTAAGAACTTCAATCTAAACTAAATTTTTATGAATTTTCAATTTATATTCTAATTGGTGCTTTTATTCTTTTTAAAATGTTTGTGTATTCTTTTATTTACTTATCTATTTAAGTTTTTATTATTTAATTCAGTTGGCTTGTCAATGTTAAAATGGAAAGATTTAACATTTTTAACATGTTTTAGCCCACCCCACTCTCTTTCTTTGAGATGTTGGGGACAAAGGTGAGTTGATTCAATTTGTCACGTTTAATAAGTTTTTAGAAAAATAGAGTTTGAAAATATTTGAATTAATGAAAATAATTATAATTTTTAAAACTTATTTTAATATATATATTTTTTTAAAGGAACTTTAGTAAACTTCATGATTAAATATATAACAAAACCATCTTATTATTATTCAGTAAACATTTAATCAGAATATTTGTTCAATTGCTGTAAAAAAAGTTTTATGTAAGAAAAGTGTCATATGTATTGGGCAAGTGTATGGTTTTTATGTTTAGTTATTTTTCAACAAAATTCTAACTTTTTCATTATACTACATTTTACAATAAACTTACTTTTAAAAAAATAGAATTTTAAACATAAATCATATCCTTTTATACTCACTTTAAATAAAATTGATTTTACAAAATTAAGCTCATTTAAATATAAATTTACAATCGTTCTCCCAAGCACACTAAATTTGGTTGTGAATTGAAACTTGGAATCTTTTAAGTAGTTGAAGTTATCTATTTTATTTCTATTTTTATATGTTTTAAGGAAAAACTTATGGGGTAGGTCCCCTTTAAAACCTCTCAACCATTTAAAGAACACAACATCCCACTCTTATGTAAAAGGAAGAGACCCAACGTTGTATATGGAAAAAAGTTTTTTCATATTGCTTACTAACACAATATGAAAAGGGAAATATAAGTAGCTGTCTAATTTCAGATTTTTTTTTTCTGTTTGTATTTTTTAGTTTCACTTTTAATCATAAAATTATCATATTATTTTTATTCTATTTCTTATTTTTAAAGATGAGTAGAAGGAACAGTAAAAAAAATATTTTCAGGATTTTATGATAAAAAAATTAAAAATATGATAACAATTTTGTAACAAAAATAAAAATAAATGTTTCTTAAAACCAAATAGTGTACAAAGAACCCAACGTTCATTCTTGTCTTTAGTTTATTTGTCTAAAATGCCACACGATGCCTATAATAGAGATTCAAACATAAATTGTAATATTAAATTACCTGCAATTTTAGTTTTTATTTTTTAAAATTATTTATGTTTCTCTTAAGCAAATTAAAATCTGTTGTCTATTTTCTTTCACTTAAATTTTCATTTTTTCAGTCAATTTTTGTAATTTTTTTTAAAAAAATTCTTCTAATTAAAACTCACTAACTACAACATGCAATTCCAGTTACAATATAAAACTTCAGAAATTTCTTTCTTCAAACTATAATATAACATCTTATGAAGTTCTTCAAATTCTATTAATTTTTGACTATTTTTTTCGCTGATAAACATTTAAAATCATTTGATATCGTAAATCTATCATAAACTGCTCAAATATTTGGACAAATAATAATTTAAATGTTTGAGCAAAGCAAAATCAATGGAAAGTTTAAATTTGCTTAATTTTAAAAGTAGACAAACTTATTTAACTAAAAAAAAAAAAGGAACCAAACTTGCGTGTAATATTATCGTTAACGTTCTTCTGGATAAGATTACTGGATAATTATGCTTAATCAAACAGAACAGAAAATGAGAATCATATGATGAGCTTAAGGTAGATAGCTGCTCTTAATCATTGGGGGGAATGATAAGGGAAGAGAAGAGTTATTTTATGGGACAAGTAACTAATAAGTAATAAGCATCTTCTTGTGGTATTTGAAGTTTTAAGATAATGCATAGACATTGAAGAATCATATTATCACAATAATAATTGATCAAAGACGTATAAGTGCAGTTTTCATATGTACATATTTTATCTTATCCGTATACTCATCAATTAAGTCATCAGCATCATCCATTACTCCTTTACCGAAGCTTCAATTCATTGTTAGTTATTATCATAGTGCGCACCATTATTACGTGTGCGTCTATAGAAATTCACGTTAAAATTCTCTTGTCAGTATCAAATATGAACTTGAAAAGAAGAGTTAAGAAGTTAGATTAAAAAAACTTCCACAGAAAATCTACATAAGCATTATCTTTGGGAGTAACATATGTTAAGTAATTTGAACGGTTGATGCTGTCGTGTATGGTCTCGTTGTATTTATGTGTAGTTAATTTATTTAATAAGAAATTGTGTTCTAAAATAATATTCTTGAACCAGTAACGGTTACGAATTATTAATAAAAATGAGTTTTTTTTAAAATTTTTTGAGCTCAGTGATCTTAGGATAAAAAAAGTCTTTTTTATATGAAAAAAATATTGGAATATCATTCTTGGATTTATTAGGCAGCATGGTATCATCCATTAATTATCGTTCGCATGGTGTGACTAAGATTGATGGATAACTTGTTTTACATATGGTCTCTATTCGAGCTACAAATTCCATTAACGAGGGTATTAGAAGTCCATTTTCGTTCTTAAAAAGACTTGAACACGTGAAAGATAAAATTTAATGAAAAGGATAATTTGGAAATGGCAGCAGATAATTGGTTTGCAATATCATTGCTCCAGAGGTAACAGAAGAAGAATTCAAGACCAGTGAAATTGCGTTTAATTTTAAATTCAATTTTACTCTTTCCAAAGAAGAAATTAGCATCGATTGCTGTTAAGCCATGTAGTAGATTACGGAGTGACATTTCTTTTTATCAATTCAGTTTAATGGTGCAGGAAAAGAGTGGAGCAACTTTCATATAATTTTCTGATTAGGTACAGACCATGAATGGTAACAAATAGAAGTTTTAAGTGCATGAAATATAATACAAAATTATACATCTTCAAAGCCACGAATCTGAGCTGTGCTGGTCTACTAAAACTTTCACAGCCTACTTGTGACTGTCTCCTAAGCCCTATTAACGTAACGTGATGATAACCAACAATTCTAGTGCATCAGTACAGCAGCCTCTTGCACAAGAGGCTGAGTAACATGCACAAAATGCTCTGCTTCCCTCTCCACCTGCTCCCAACACTTGTTGGCACTTTTCCCTTCTTTCATCTTCTTCACAAATGCTACAAACTTTCTCCAGTTATCAGGTTGGAACAAATGTGGGTTCATCCTCAGGTATGTGAATGCACACATCTCTAGGTCATCTGAGTTACCATCAACATTCAATTGTGATGCCTTGATGATCTGTTCATGTGCATATTCATCATACCGTGGCAACGCATTTTCGCCGGCAAGTGGGACCTGTGCTTTCTGAGTTGCTAAAGCCACTTGCTTCACGAGCTTCTCAGGTGCACAGAGAGCATCTTGTGGCTGTTCATGATCACGCATCTCAATACATGTGAAATTGAAAATGGCACCATGGCGTGCTAACATTTGTGCAATGGGGAGGTAACCATCGCGGAATCGGGTGTTGTAATATCCTGCTGTGAGTTCTGGAGCGTGAGACCTTGAACCATAGTGCCAGTGAATGCCAGCAACTTTTACTGAGATCTTAACTCCAGTGTTATCAAAGATTGACTTAGCTGATGTGAGAATCCTCTCACCATGGTCCAGGAGCATCTGAGAATACCAGGTGAGGAAAAACTCACCATATGGACCATCCCAGCCTCCACCTTCTTTGCGGAAAAATTGAGTGTCTTCTGGCCAGTTGTTATAGTGGCCAGCATCAGTAGGGCCTGTGCTTCCCCATTCTAGCTTACCCTGAGCTTCAGCAGCAGCTTTTAAGCTACTTAACATATACTGCACAATACCATAACTAAGAGTATTAGAAATACAAAGCAAAGTAACACAAAAACACTATTAAGTACAAAACGGAATAAAAAAAAGATAAATATATACCTTGTCATAGCATTGGAAAGCACCAATTCCTGGGAATTTCCATGTCCCATTTTGTTCCGGGTATGAAGGGTAACGCAGCTCACCGGCTGGTCCCATCCCAACTTGAATTTCCTGGATTGTGCCAATATTAGAAGTTCAGGTGAAAACTTATACTTACATAGTACAATAAATCATAGCATTTTTTGAGAGCACTAAGAGAGAATTATAAACAAAGGGGGACAGATATTTACCACAATAGTGTCACCAAGGAGGTGCTTGAAATTGTCTCTGAAAGCACGCATGAAATCAGCATAGCATTGGACTGGTGTCCGGCCCTTGAGTGCTGGCAAATTATCACATCCAAGTGAAATATATTCATAGTTTCTTCTTCCCCATTGATCAGTGTATGCTAGATCGGGATCTTTGTCAATCTCTTCCACAACCCATTTGGGCAAGGGGATACTGCACACAAGTCAACAATCGACTCGCCCATCAGGAAAACAACACGAATTTCTATTTCTACACAGCACTACTTGTAGCAGTAATAAGAATAATAAATCGCAAATGAAAAATGTGACTAAAAATCTAGAAAAAAGAAAAGAAAAGAAAGAAACTTAGCAACTGACACCATTTCCATTTGAGAATGGACAGATATGAAAGCGTCGTACGATCAATTATTTGGGATAATTCGAATTCCAACTAGTCAACAAATAAAAAATATTGTGGATAATTTCATGTTAGAATTATCTGTCCGAAATAATACTTTTTTTTCTCATTTATTGGGAGAATTTAAGATTTTTTTTTTTTAAAAACTGAAAAACAAGTTACGATCATGGGTTGGGTCCACACGAAATTAGACGTAGATCCGTAGTCAATTTTTTGTTGCTAAACCGATTCGAAAGAGTACAAGACCAACCTCATTTGGTCTCACTTACCATCACGAAATCACACTCTTTTCTCGTGTATTTACTTTTCACTAGAGGCCAGACTCGCTGGCACCGTGCTCCCCACGCATCTTTAAAATTATAAATAAATAATAATAAATTTTCAAGCAATAATTAGTCATGTAGAATGAGCAACAAATCGGAATTATAAGTGTTTTAAAATTGTATTATTCCAAAAAATATAATAATCATGGATAAAACCTTAAATTATAATTAAGGTTAGCACTAATTTTAAGGGAGTGCCAACTTTTTACATCATAATTTTCAATCATAAAAAGTAATACATTAAAATTTCAGTAAAAGGAAAAAGTTAATAATTCTAAAGATCCAAATATTCCAAATTCCTAGTTAATTCCACAGAAAAGCTTATACTCCATTTAGAAGCAAAATGATACAGATCAAAAATTACATCGCATTCGCATGGCTTCATATCCCCATCACAAAAACCATTACCTTTTACGCTTTTATTTTATTTTTTATGAAACTTGTTGCAGCGTGTTAAGCACGCCTCTATTTTTCTTACTCCAAATATCAATACCCTGTCCTGAAGATCCTACCCAGTTTTCAAAAATCCCACAAGAGATATAATCCAAAATTTTAATAAAAATAATAAAAAAGAAATTTTAGACGGTGGGAATGAATATAAAAAATAATTAAAAATAAGTTACAGAAAAGCATCCAAACGCATTGTCTGACCAATTTCATTATTAATAAAATATTTTACTTATATTACTTAAAAATAATGTCAATGAAAAGTAAAATAAAATAAAACAAGTGAGAGAAAGAGAGTGAGAGAGAGAGAGAGACTAACGTGCAAGAGTCACCGACGTTACCGCCACATTGATGAAAGGACATAACGGCCTGAACCTTAAGCCCATGCTTCTTCGCCATTTCCATCAGTTCCGTGTAACCGCCCCAATTGTATTCACCAGGCGATTCCCTCTCCACCAATCCCCACCACACATCCATCATCACCCCTTCCACTCCCGCGCTCTTCAGCGCCGCCATAGCAGCATTCATCGCTTTTCTCCTGTTCACCGTGTTCCCCATCGTCACGCTATCCAACGGCATCATCACATACACAGGCACTCCCTTCCCCTTCCCCTCTACTTTCCCCTTCCCTCCCACACTGTGCTCCTTCTCCTCCTCCGTCACCGCCTCCGTCGCGAACGCCTGACACGCTACCGACAGATCTGGCCGGATTCCTCCTAGCACCGGCGACCTACACGGACTCAGCGGCGGCGACAGTCCGTCACCGCCGTCGGACTTCCTCACCTTGCATCGCAGAGTCGCCGTCGGCGACTTCCACACCGCCGGCGGGCTCACCGACGCGGTCGACTCTGCCGTCTTTGAATCCGTCGGAATCGGCGTGCCGGCGATGCTTCCAATCTGGTGAGTCATGCTCAACGCCATTATCTAGTTTTCGCTACAATTTTCCTGGAAAATGCGAGAAAGCGCGAGAAAGAAAGAAGATCAAAATTAAATCAAATATAAATGTTCAATTTTTAGACTTTTATCTCTGCGGTTTGGTTCGGTTTTAGTGATTAGAGTGATTGATAAATCGAAGAGAGCGAGATTTATAGAGGGAAAGGAGCGAGGTTGAGGATAAGATTAAAATAACAATATTTTGAGTTTGACCGTTAATTTCTCGCCACGTGTCACGTGGTTCCGTGGCGCATTTGGGAACGTTTGAGAAGGCGACGGCTACGATTTGTGAATGGTGTGAGAAATGGACGGTTGGATGGGGATTCCGCGTGAAGGTCCCAGAAAGTGCGGTACCGAAAGAACCCTTGGTCGATGGAAGGGCGACACGTGCTGGAAAGTGACTTCTCACGTGTCGTGACCGCATTTTCGGTTGTAAGAAAGTAAACACACAACACAGCGTATAAGCGAAGGGAAAAAGAGACTAAAAGGAAAGGAAGGATCCTGTGAAAGATTCACACGTTGCACGTGTCGTCCCTTTAACCACTGAACATATCTAGAGATCCATTTCACTTTCCGAGTCACCTTCCCCTCACATGAATTCATTTTCTCCAGTTCACAAAATTCATACACACACGAATTTGATAATTAAAAAAAATTAATTTGGTTTTAAATAAATTAGGTTAATTAAAGCACTAATTACCCCTTGCTTGATTTATTTAATTTGATAGTCGAATTACGAGTTTTCCTTCTTGACGTCCATATCAGCATGAAAAAGGTGTATCAATGGCGTAGACATAAATCTTTTCTTGCTTCCTTTGGGCCTGAAGTCAAGTCTTGCACACATCCTTTGACATTAGTTCGATTCCAAATAACTCAAAGGCAAAGAAACATTAGTCCCAGTTTTATCGAAGCCTTAGAACATTGAACTTTATCGCTTTATTCATTTTTTTCACCAGAAATTATCTTGTGACTCAAAAGCGGAAATGACAATAATCAATCAAGATACTTGTTGTGGAGTAATCTTCATTATTTTGCAAAAATTTATATTTTTAAGCTCATTTTCAATTACAAATAAAAAGGAGATTGACTTGTATTAATGTTAGTTACACTCACTTTTATATGTCTAATAATTTTTTATATATAATTATTCTAATGTGTAACCTTGTTCAGGATAAGGAGTTGTATATTAAATTATTGAAAATTACAGTATTTAATAATATCAACGCACTGGGTTAAATTTATTACTATAAATTTTAATAAAAAATTATCATATATAATTTTTTATCCTATGCAACAATACTTGTTAGAAAGATCGTTTTACATAATTACGAAGTAATAAACTGTGAGGATGTTCAAGGGAAGTAAAATTTGCTATGGTGATGCAGGTAACTGAATTAAGATGTAGGAAAGAAGATGAACGAATGACATGGAAGAGTTCAAATATCTTTTGATACTAATACCAAATCAAGACAAAAATTGAGAAAAACAGAATGAAAAATGCTTTCATTGTTAATAGTGATGGAGAGAGACAGTAACATTAACAGCCATTAACATTTGCGGCTAGCAAGGACGTGCCAGTTATTAGCACATCACAAGTTAATGGTAACGTAATTACCAAGTTAATTTTCCTTTCTAAAGAAGAGAGTTATTTTCATTCCTTTTAAATCATTACTTCATGTAAAGATGAAATGAAGGGAAAGACTCTTTCATTATAAGCAAAGCAACATAATCAGTTGCTAGTTATTATTAAATTTTTAAAGGAATATTTGTAAATGGAAACAAGGAAGTAAAGTGACTAAACAAGCAACAATTTCAATTTTTCATCTGACTGTGATGTATCAGCACACGACTTTGACGTTTCTTGTTGTATCTCCAGGCAACCTGAATTCGAGTTGCGGCCAGGGATCTCCAGTAAGGTGATTCATACCTAACACATAAAATGATCAAATGATTATGTCAGAGCCATAGATTTGGAAACAAATTGGGTTTCTACTAGTGAGTGAACCACAAACTTGCGGAGATGTGAAAGAGGAATTTGGATCAATGGTGTCCTATCAGATATCAACATTCATTTTCATTGCATGAACTATGATAGTTAAGGATGGTTTCCCTTGATGAAAATGAGCCATATGGAATATTAGTACCATAGACAAGTCATAAATATAAGGGCAGCACCCTTCAAGAAAGAGATGGTTGATTTTCATTCTAGTAAGTCAAAAGATGGTCAATATTACCTTAGGGATCCTTGAACTCGAAGATTCCGCAAGAATCTCATGAATAGTGTTGTGACTTCTTCAAGGTCTGCAGCTTTGAGTGAAAAAGTCTCTACATTTGTTAAGCACTTTACTGTCCTGTTGCTAAGTAACCTGTGTCCCGGTAACCTTACATTTTTACCATCTGCAAGAAAAACAATCTTAATGAACTATGCTGCTTCTCATTTCCTAGTGATGCTTAGTTAACAAGCAAGTTACCATTGCACTAGGTATTGTTATACCTTTGCTTACAGAAGAATGTTCAAGATACCATGTTAGAAGTTCTTCACCACAAGCATCCCCTTCCGATAAGGGTACTCCAATTCCATCTTCTCCAATACTCTCCAATTTTCCACGCACAATAAAGATCATCTTCTCTACTAGACCACCCTGGCTCAAAATTATACTTCCTTTGATGTATGTCTTTTGTCTTAGTCTCTCACATATGGCATCTAAGATGGGCTCATCCATCAGGTTGAAAATTCGGACCTGCCAGCATTTTAAATCCTTTGATATGCATACAAATTGATACAAAGTGGAAAAGTAAATAATCATTTGGCTTTTGATGTATCATTGTATTTGTTTGACCATGAAGATGCATAAATCTTTGCCTTCAAATTTAACTTCAATTCCTTTTTAGCAGGTTATACTGATAAGAGATAAAGACCTAAGGAATACAGAATTTTAAATGAAGCATTATGACTGATACTTTGAAGTTCATCCGATATGTGAACTACAATTATACTAATAGTAATCATGTTAAATTGTGTATTTATAATAAGTAATTATGTAACAACTATTCTAGTGAATACTTTCTCAACAAATTTAAATAGATGACGTCTTATGTCTCTCTGAAGATCTTCAGGCAAATTCTCAAGAAGCATTTCTTCATTCACTCCCCTTGTTGCAGCCCAATTATAACGTTCAGCCTGTCTCACTTTCCTGCGAGATGGACATATCTATCACTTGTACATTAATTGAGGTAAGTAGGTACATGAATAAGATGCATGGTTTTCGTGATATATGTCATGGTGAACTTTTAACTGATATCTAAAAGGAAACTAAAATTACTATGCTCAGAAATATTTTATGACCAGGAATGTTACCATTAGGATCCATGATAAAACTATTTGTGTGTCTTTAGGTGACAGCTTAATTATTTGGAATAGCTCACAATTGTAATTTAATGTACACAAATAATGTTATACAAATTTAGAAGATGTTAATCAGTATTATTATTAACAACTAAAATTGACACAGGGTGTCATTATGCCGGTGAGATGTTCTCAACAGTTATTTCATTTGTCTCTGGAATGTCGGTACTAATTAAGTTAATAATAATAAACACACCTCAGAAACTTGACTACATTTGCAGACAGATACAAATAAATGCAAGAAGCGGTTCCAAATTCTCCTTTATCACTATTTACAAACTAAAACAAGTCTCCAGAAGTTGCTAATGTAACTGAGGTTCTGCATAAAACAGAAACTATCTCCTTGAAACAGTAAATTGTTCATGTACATTATCAAGAAGGGGTTAACAAGCAATGACTTCAATAAATTTAACAGAAGCATTTTTCAGTTTTCACAGGTAGATAGATCAATGTGATTTGTTAAAAAAAATTTGAACATTTCGTACTTCCTTAGATCTTCTGGTAAGCGACGATGGCTCATCCATTGCTCAACATCACGGCCTCTAAGTTGCATTTCTAACCTCCTGTAAGCAAGATGGAAGAAAATATATCAAGTGCATTATAATCGTAAGGCCTACACAAATAAGAAATTTGCTATCGAAGTTCAAGAAGAAATTAAAATTTGTAGTTGTAGAAAGTTAGCTGACTAACAAGAACAGAAAAAAAAAAAAAAAAATTCTCTGCACAGAATCAACATCATAAGGAGGACTTCGTCCTAGTCCGATTTAAATACGAATCACATAGCAGGTATAGTCAAACTGAAGAGACAAGATGATATTATGGAATTATAGTTTATAGTTTGACACAATTACACTCATAGGATGCCTATCATCTATTTGTTTGCACCAATGTTAGATTTTCACCTCAAAAGGTGCTCTAAAAAGAAGTTGATCTAAAGGGAAACAGATGACTAAGAGATACATTGTGAGAGCAGTAAGTTCTACCTCCGTCCAAGACCTTGAAGAAAGTTCTGTATGTTTCCAATGAGAAGCGCAAAAAGCAAGAGTCCCAATCCTATGATGGCCATGGTGAAAAGGACTTCCCACCCAAAATAGCTTGGGGTTAGATTACCAGCCAGAGTACTGATTTGCTGCGTCATAGATCACAAGATATGATACTAATTGATAAGATATCAAAATAACTCTTGAATTTCAGCTTGGGCTTAACTCAACCCGATGTGAGACTTCAACACACCCTTTTTCTTTTCTGTCAAGGTTGACTCATTATCAGACCTAGAATTGACTTTGATATCATCTTAAACTTGCGCTGATGTTTAACTCAATCCCAAAAGCTAGTTCATTAGGTAAAAATTTCTTTAGCCTTTATAAGTTCTACTCTAACCGTATCTGTAGTCAACAGTAGCTAAGAAAAGGGTTTGCATGATGGTAACTTGAACATGATGAGAAGGTTGGCTTTTCCATGCCTGCATGGATATATGCATGGGATATTTGGGAAAAACATGAGAAAAGAATGGTTGTTTGAGTCTCCCTAGATATGCCATGTACATACACTCACACACATACACACAGAGTTAAGCCCATGTCAATATATCCATAGCTCCTCACTTATACAGTACCAAATGTACATAATTACTGCTGAAAGAACAAATAAAGAAAAGAATGAAATGCATACCTGGAACCCCCAAAATAGAGAATAAACATATTTGTTAACCACATTAGTTTCTGTAGTAAGTGGTACAGCATTGGCATAGATCCCATAATGAAAACCACCTGGGGAGGGATTCAAACAAGCAATGGCATCAGCATTCTTGCTCCACAGAGCTAATGCTTTGTCAGACTCATTGTTTCCGGTGTGACCATGTCCACAATCAATGAGTGTCATGCATCTAGCAATAGGAGAATTACGGCAGGCATCTCTCAAACATTGATTAACCCTCTAGAAGAAGGAACAAGTAGAAAAGGAGAAAGTATGTTAATATTAACCTTTACTGAATCAAATTCCTGATTCTATACATATCACTCATCTTTAAAGAATCCAAGACTGTGATACTTGAATTTAATATCAAAACTAATAAATTAGTTAGAAGGACTGTATTTCTCAGCTGCTATGTTGCACGGGTACAGGTATTGGGTAGGATACAGTACGATACACAAATATGACAAATTTTTAAAATATATTAACTAAAATATACTTATATTCATGTATGAATATTGAATATTTTATGATAACTTTGATCAATTCTTACTTAAATAATAATTTTACAAAAAAAAGAGAGAAGGAAATTATCCAATAAAATCTATAAAAATCACTATAATTAAATAGCAGGGGATATGCCTAGGATATTCATGCAAGTGTATTGTATGCATATCCATACCCAACACGAAAACAACAAGCATACATCGACCTTTCTCACGTACCCGTGCATCAGAGCTGATCACATACTGCTAGCATACTGATGAAAGAGTAACACTTCATTTTGCCTATACTATGTAGTACTACATCAAAATCATATTCATTGATGTGAATACAGTAATATTTCTACTGCTTTTTTATTCTTTGAAGGGTATCTTGTCTTGTCCTTCATAGAAAGAGATATATTAAAACAAATAATGAAATTTAGTGAGGGAGAAATTATTCTTGTTTGGTTTTTTATTCTTTATTGAAAATTGTTTCATAGAATAAAAATATCAAGAAACTTGTTTGATGAATTTTGTACTGAAAGCTTGAGGAAGCTATATGTCTTCCATTTTCTACTGTAATCATGGACAAGAAGTTCTCAGAACAATCAAATAAAAAGTTGATGCCAAAACAAATTATGTTGCATTTTAATTTTAGAAAACAAAAACCTGTTACATTCCCTTATCATTTTTTTAAAAACAAGCTTCAAATGTTATTTTGACTCACCTGTAGACCAAATAGGTACCAGCAAGAGCCAACAACATGGCTAGCAAGCATAAAAATGAGAAGATTTATGATGAAATTTGCCCAGGCTGACTCAAATATAAATCCTGTTGGAGACTGTCCAATTAGCAGAGGCAGAAACCTGAATAATCTGGGAATATACTGCACAAGGATTGCTGCACGCAGAAGATTCTTAGCATAGTTTGCTCCTGATAACCCCAAGTGTCTTGGTAGGACCAACAATATCATTATCTGCACATATTTCACTACATATGTAAAGGCAAGGAGTTTGATGAGTATGTAATAAATCCATAGTCAATTCTAATTTTTTAACTGAATAAAAATATTTTCTTTTCTCAAGAAGGTGATCATGTCCATAGATAATTTGTTACTCCGAAAGACATACCAAAAGGTTTAGTCATTCAGGTTGACTTTAAACTTGAATATGATGAAACAGAAGAAGGAGCAATTCATGAAGATAAAGATAGAAAGAAGACGACAATAATCTTCAGAGATATTCAGCATTGTTCTTCCACAGCATGGAAGTTAATGAGATAAAAGTAATTTATAGCCTGTGACTAGCAGCTTAACTTTAAGGATAATTGGTTCTTGACAAAGTATGAGACTCCATGATAAATTGTCAAGAGATTAATTCTCAAACACTCCTATGCTCTTAGCTACTTTTGCATGCAGGAATTTGTGAGATAAAAATTAAAGCAATGCTATAGTTAACATTATTAACCAATAAAAAATGGGTTACATATAGGACTGCAGAGAAAAAAGTTAATTTTTCAAGTTCAAAAGAATTAGGAAAGAGAAATTTCATTCTTTTGATATACAATTACAACCCGTCTTTGCTAAATGGATACAAAATACCCACGTTTTAGCACCAGGCATAATGGCCCCTGGTGCAACATTCATAAACATTGTTTTTGTATTTTTCATCATTTTCCTAAAAGATATTTATTGATGTTACAACTTAAGCTCTTGAAATTATAGGCTCTTAACAACAGAAATTAGAGTATATCCTATTATAAAAGGACCCAGTGACATCTTTTCCCATATACTTATTTATTTAACACAAGTATATCACAACTAAATCACTGATATCTCAAAATAAACAAGAAAAAGAATCCTCAATTTCGTAGGAAACACTAATCAGTCTGTTTTTGAAAATAAGAAAAGAACCTTTTAAATGATAACCTTAGTAAAGTGGACACATCATTGATTTTCATTTTTCCATTTGTATCAAAGATGACACACACACACACACACACACACAAGCATATCTAGTGAACGTTTGAGAAGTGGAAGGAGCTAATCTTGGCCATGTAATTATACATGGACGATCAAGATTATTTCAGTTAAATGTAAACTTGACCATCCATTTTGATTGTATGGTTAAAATGAGTTCCTCTCACTTGATATGCTTTCTATATATAATGTATATATTCAGGTCCCAATCTGATGATTTCCAAGAAATGGAGAAAAAATATGAATAGGTTTTCATGTTCAATTGTAAAGCTTGTAGTAAGTCATATCAGATGATTGGCAGTATATAAAAATGACTAGCTGAAATATGAGTTACAAAGAGAAAACTTAGTCTTAAAAAAAAGAAAAAGCATTTCTAAATTGAAGAAAGAGGAATGGTAGGAAATTTACCTGAGGAAGAGGAAATACAACAAACAAATCGATAAGAAAGTAACCCTGCAGGTAATGCACAGCAATTTTCTTGGGATGGTCAACTAAATCTCCAGCACCAACCACCCTTGACTCTGGAGAAACATAGGCCAACCTAAACTGTAAAGAGGTAACTTGGAAGTTATTAAGCTTTAACTTATGAAAAAGCAGCAAACTAGACTTAAAAAACTCTGCAACCATATTCAAGATTCAGGACACATTAAATTTTCTATTTTTGTTGTTTTCCTTTTAACCTCAGCAACTAATAGATGAAAAGAAAGAAAAACCTACCATAAGTACATAAAGATGCTACAATTTACCATCAATAAGGTAACAGTCATCCTATTTATTGTCTGAGTTGGTGAATCATTTCATCTTTTTTTTTTTTCTTGCAGTCTAGTTTATTTAAGGTACACTGTATGGCTTACAATACAGTAACAAATATTTTTCAAAATACAGATCTTAGGTTTGTAGATTGGAGGAAAAATATCCTACAACTAATAGATTACATGGAATAATTGTTTCATTGAAGTGCTTGATTTTAGATTATATGAGATAAGAAACTTACAAGAATCAAGATTCATCATATACTCACTAAACAGGATAGTGAAATTTTATTTGAAAAGATTGAACTTCCTCTGAGTTGGCATTTATAAATTGAAAGGATAGAGTCAATAATTGAACCCTAAACCAAATTACTTACACTAAATTCCAAATTACATTGGTTACTTCAAGAAGAACTGCATGTTGGTTTAGGACAATGAATGCTACTTTGAAGAGTTGGATAAGAGGCTTCTTATCAGTGTTATTAAGATGGAGCCACACATATTTCCATATCCATGGCATCACAGGCTCATATTTATGAAGTTTTGTTGGATAATGGATATACTTTTTGGCCATCATCTCTGCTTGTTCCTTGGACTCCACATCTTTTAAAATTGTAATACCATGTTTATTCATAATACAAGAAGAGAAGACGGTGCAAAATAAGAAAGACCACTGTAAACTGTGTTACATCTTGATACAATTATGATGGGACATATGGCACAGCCTAACACTTAACAGTTGCCATTAAAAGATTCATATAAAATCAATATAGTCTGTTGACCTGTTTCTTTATTTAATGACAATATAAGTTTAACAGAAAATATTTAGCATGCTTTAGGAGCTTGCATGATCTAATTATTATCAAGTGAACAATTATTTATGGCACAAGAACAAACCTAAAACCTGCAATTATGTTGCCGGGAAATTCTTCTGAAATATAATTATCAGAATATTTACCTTCTAAAGCCAGAGAAACTGAATAATAAAAATTTGTTGTCAAAGAAAGAATTCAATTATATTTTTCAAGCTAAGAATATGGCACCATTCTATGATTATATAGGTTAGCAAATATTAAACATAAGGGGAGGGGAGAGCGAGACTTTCTGAAAAGGTAGTTACTGAGAAATTACCTGCAGAAGAATGTTCAAGAAATATACAAAATCATTTATACTTCTTAATAGAACTAGTGTTCTTGTCATGTTCCAGTTGATAACAATACATTTATCATCCTGCATACGATGAATGGGAATAGTGTAGAGTAAATTTGCAAAGCAGTAGGAGGAAAATGTTGATATCTAATTATCTATAACTTGCATGTTTTTGGAAATTAAATAAAAAGAAAAGAATCATACCTTCTGCACATAGATTAAGAACAAAAATAATGGATCCACAAAGATTGCCACCAAGCTAAATATGGCCAAAAACTTGTTCCATTGTTGTACAACTTTTGTGTGAGGGTTCATAACTCCAGGAACAAATGAAGAGCAGAAAGATATAAATTTTCTCCCAAAACCCTTGGCATCCCCATAAAAAGCATTCTGGAAGTGGAACTGTAAACACTCAAAGCATGAATAAAAGTATGCTTAATTATATGAAATTGACAGCACAGTCTACAAAAGTAAATAGAAAAGGTAACAAGAAGATCAAGAATGAGGATAAAGTAAAGTTTGGAATAGTGGCCTTTAGAATATAAGTGTTGCATAAACAAGGAGACAAATTAATGTGTTATTGACAATACATCCATTTCCCCTAAGGTGGATTGAGATAATAACAATAGCATAGCAGCAGTTTTAATAGTAAAGAGAACAATATGCATAGATGCAGCTTGAATACAATGATTTTAGTAAGAGAAGAAAATAAGAAATTCTGGAAGGTCAAGACAGTGGTCTCTTGTAATGTACCTAAAGAAAAGGGTATAAGGGTTGTCATTTGCAGTTCTTAATACTATTATGTTAAATAATTCATTTCTTTCTTACAGTCTCACTACTAATGTAATTTAATCAAGAGTTCAAAATTGCTTTAGGAAATCATTGTAGTTTTAAATATGTAGCTAGTCTACGTAATTTTCAACCAATGGTCCATATTTGGTCTTGTATTTTCACTGTGAATTGAGAACAGACTTAGCTAATAATGACCTATTTTAATACGTTGAAAAAAATATAGAGGTTTTCTTTTAACAAACTGTAGGGACTAAATTGAATTCATAGTGTAGCTGTAGGGGACAGATGAGTAATTTAACCTAAGTGTGGTAATAGAGGACGTTCAGTTCCTATTTTAGTGAATTACGTTGTATTTTCCCTTCTTCTTTTTACTATCTTCTTTCCATGTTGTCAACAAGCTTCTAAACAATGACTAATGATTTCAAAGATCTTAGATCAAATTTTCGTTGTTAAAACTTCAGAAGATTTCCAAAAGCTACGTGTTCAACTGGAATCTTACAGCAAACGAATCTAGTTTCCCACTCTAACCTTTAAAAAAATTAAAAAAATAGACTTGTTGGAAATGCTAACATGTCTAGGAGATCATATTCAATGGATAAAACATCACCAAATGAGTGTCTCAAAAAGTGACACCTTTTTTTTCTTCTAGATTATACATACGTTATTTACTTTTTATTGAATTTTCTAGAATAGTTCTTACTCACTTTTTCATGATAAATCAAAGTTATAAAGCAACTAAACTTTAGATGCTTAAGCTGAATTGGGCTTTAAGATACTAAATCCACCACCTTTTCTCATGAATACAAATTAATAGCTGTTGAAACAGAGTGCTTTTATATAGAAATGCCATTCAACATCTTGATGTTTAATAGTAAATATATGAACATGATTAAGTATGATGATGAAGAATTGCAGAATCCCATGAGTATATCAAATCATAGTTACGCATAAATATGAAAATTGTAGTGAGTGATGATAAAATCAATATAACAGTACAGCTATTCATGAATATAAAAATCATCAGCTACTCAGGAAGCATAAAAGTAAATTATAATTAAATAAATATCCCCCTTCCCCTAAAAAATAATTTCATCCTGGTGAATGCCTAACCATGGTTAGAACAAAAACATGTCTCAAGAATAATTCATTTTTTATTATGCACCATATACTTAAAAGTGAACTTCAAAATATGGAAGTCAATGATTTTTAAAGATAAATAAGAAATAATAGTCTATTTAGGAAGAAAGACACCTTGGGATCAAACATAGTGGAAGATTTTGGAAGTCTTTGCAGAGAGCCCTTGAAGTAAGTAGGGCAAGTAGTACAATAAGGATCATTACACATTCCAAGTAGCCCAGACCTCAGTAAGTGTTCATTTTTTCTATCATTGTTGTTATTCCAATGATTTTCATTTGTTCCATCAAGAGGAGATAATGTTTCTGTCTTGCTCTCCACTATTTTGTTTTCTGTCACAACTATACTCCGATGCAAAAGGTTTCCAGTTCCACTGGTAGCATATAGTGGACCACTCATCTGCATTAAGGGTGATTTTCTCACACTACAAAGTGGACCAGTATGTCCCACTAGACTAGTTTCTCTCTCATATGGCTCCATCGAGACCATAGGAATAGAAATTGATGCACTTTTTGTCCTTGATACAACCTTTCGAAATCTAGAATCGACGAGTTCATCAGGTTGTGCATGTGTTTCTTTCCCGTCTCTTTCAAAATTATTCATGTTTCCTTGTTGATTCTGCAGTTTTCAATGAAATTAACAAAACATTCATTACATGTATTTCAGTACCATATCAATTTTAGAATAAAACAATTCAATGTAACTTGAACTTGAAAGGGGAGAAAGTGAATTGTAAAACAATGAATATTACTAAATAACAAGTGCAGTATGAAAAGTTAAAGATTATACCATTTGGAACAATGCATTCAAAGGACGATCCTTACAGTCATGTGGAGTCAGGATGGTGATACATTTGTCTCTACATTGGAAATTTCTAACAACACAACAATTAAACTCTTGTACTAAAAGATCTCCTAATCTTAAATCCACTGAAACTTGAATAAATCAATTAGATATCCAATCCAATGACCTGAACTAATAATGAAATCATTGAAATGCATTTACCATACAAACCCTTTAGTTTCTATAGGAGATTTAACAATGCATTGGTGCTTGCTGGTGTTCAAAGCTAACACCTACATACCATATTATAGCAGCTAGATGAGGCATTACGATGAAAAGGATACGAACAAACATTAATACAGCAGCAGCAGCAGCAACAGCCATTAATCAAAGCCTTTTCTCCACTAGGTGGAGTAAGCCACGAGCGTTAATGTAGCCATTGTGTTCTACCAAAAACCAATTCTTTGGAGACACCATTTTAATTCAACTTAAAATTAAATATGTTTTTAGCCCCTCAAAATATATCACATTTTGATTTTAGTTCCTAAAGTAATTATTATCTTTATTTTAGTCCTTACATTTTCGAAAATTATTAATTTTGGATATAGTTTTACAAAAAGCAACACATGACACAAAAATTGATGCATTATAACATCTAAATTAGTCACATTATCATTTAATAGTGACAAGATCAAAACTAATAATTTAAAAAAATGTAGATATTAAAACCAAAAAAATTATGTAGAGATCAAATCAAAATATGGTGCATTTTAAAAGACCAAAAACATATTTAAGCCCGTTACTTATTTTAATGATTTCACTTGAGTCTCTCTTAGTCTACTTCTATCTCTAGTAATATTGAGCTAGAAAAACCATATGTTTGAACAAGCAGTGATAATTAAGGAAAACAACAAAGATAATAAACACAGAAAGAGTAAAACCTGGTTGAAGAAGAATTCCCAGTGAAACCCCACCAACTATAGTGCACTCATTGGATAAGTGGAAAGGAGTATGTGTAAAAGTGAAAGAGAGAGAGTTGTATGTAAATATGAAAAACAAAGTCAATTGTGAGTTGTAATGCAAGGACGGAGGAAGCAACACGTTTGTTGGTTGCTACTTTGTTATGAACGATACGGCAAATACAAAGCTAAAGAGTTGAGTGATTAGATAATGTGCTACTATGATAGATTTAGCGGCTTTGTTTCCAATTTTGAAACATATGTTGTTAGATTTGATTTGGACAAACATGTGTGCCACATTGCCTTGAGTTTTTTTTAATGTTTATGAGGATTTCATTTCTATTTGTTCATATTTAATTCTGACAGTCTCTCCTCTCCATTGTTAAAAGTAAATCTCTCACCGTAAAATTATGTGTTCAATAATGGATTCTTATGACAGAGATTTTAATTCAGTTCTTTTACATATAATTATTTTTAAATTCATTCCGGTAATAATACTGTGAAATTGGTAATAAGATGTTATTGCAAAATGCAAGAACCAAGTTGAAAATAACCGTGACATATAAGCACAAAAAGTACACTTTATTTCTTATATGTTTCGTATATATATTTTTTAATTTGAACTATTCCCTGTGTTATGAGTCCTATAGAGTTATAATAATAAAGACTTAGATGTAATTTTTTTTATTCATCTAGTTTAGATTACGTGGGATTTTATTCAATAATTGAACATTGTATTTTTTAATTTTTTATTCAATAAAATTTTGGTGCACGCATCAAATTTAAAGTAACTATCTCGTATAATGATTAAAAATATGTATATTAAATATTTTGTAATTTTCATTAAATATTGAATACGACATTTCATTAGTCATGTTATTACAGTGTTTCAAATTAAGGCTTCAAGTTCAAGCCAACATTCATGTAAATTGTACAGAAAGTGAAGAATTTTCAGGGGAAAACATTTTCAAAATATAAAATTTTTGTCAAATTCAATGCTATGCGCGCACGTATGACTCAATGCTTGGTAAAATATTTATTAGTGTTTTATGAAATGATTATTATTTTAGTGCGATGTTGTAAGAGAAAGTGAACCTTAAAAGTTTCTAATAGGCACAATAGCTAGAGAGACACAAAGTGGCTAAAAAGGAAGATGAATATGTAAATGAAGTGTGACTGTTGCTTAATGAAGAGCTAAATAGAAAAAGGTATTATTGGAAGAAAAAGTAGTATAACTTAGAATAGAAATGGAGTATTCAAATGCAATAAGAAGAAAGGAAATGAATACCAACCTTACTACCTCTTTCTCTACAAAGGCCTAAGAGATTTCTTCCACTCTTTCCTTTTCACTCCAAAATTTCCAAAGTGTGTGCTAAATATCATGAAAAAGGGTAGGGAAACATCACAAAATTGGCATGTTATGTTATGTGTGTAGAGAATGGGAAGCAACCTTTTCTTGTCTCCTCAGCAGAATGCTTTGCTTGTACTTGTATACTTTATTTAATTTTTGGTTTCAATCATAGGTATCTTCTATAGAAAGTAATTTTGGTCAAGGCTGGAACATTTGTATTATGGTGAGACTAGCTCTCTTAATGGAATTTTTTTTACTATACACAAGAAAATGAAGTATATACCACTTAAACTAACGCCGTTGGTGTATACTTTGCTTAGTTTGGAAAAAAAAATAGAAAGAGAAAAATTTGACAGGAAGAAAATGGTGAAAACATGAATAATTTTTATTTTATTTTTTAATGAGAGAGACGTTAAACAAAGTGAATAAAAAGAAAATATTTTTTCTTGAATAAATTGTATACCCCAATTAAATTTTAACAAAATATAATTGTTTATATATAACTGGTAATTTTGTCTCTTTTTTTTACACTTTCCATGCTCTCTTCTATTGTTCAACACTACTAAACGAGAGAACAGATTTCGGAATATATGTTTTCTATTTCACGTTTTTCTTTCGTATCAAACTCTTATTAAATTTTATATATATATATATATATATATATATATATATATGTTTGTGTATAATTTTTGTATTTTTCATTATTTTTATTTATGGTGTGTTTTGTAGTTGTTCCTATTATCCGTATTTGATGGGTGCAATTTTTCCCCCCACAATTATATTTGATAATATAATGCATAAAAGAATCTCAAGTATAATTCAGAATAAATATTGTGCAAATAATCAATATGAAAAAGAAAATCTGTTGATAGTCTTTTGGACATTTAAAAAGTAATATTGAATATGAAAAAAAGTACCCTTCCATTTACTCGTTGCAGACCTGAAATACCATTAAGAAAATACATGAAGATATTTTACTATCATATGATAAGACCTAGGCACATGCTTTAATTTGTCAATATATATATGAATTAAAAAGGTAAGAATGCAACTTTGAACGTAAAGAATATGTCGTACTGGTCTATCAGTTTGCACAATGTAATTAGTTTATTAAGCATATTTTAGTCCAAAATATTAACAAATCATTCAAGGGAGCCATTTCAAGCAGAGAAAAAATGGTTCAGACAACAATCATAACTTATTATTTATTTTTTGTTTCTTTTGCAACAAGATGTCTCCAAACAGATATTTTGCATCTGCATGATGAAAAAGAAGATTGAAACAAGTTTTTTTGTAAGTCAAAATGAGACCTATTAGAAAGAGTAATTGAACCAAAACAAATTTAACCCTTTCATTGCTATATTGTATCCTATTTTAGGCAAAGTTAAATTGAAAATTATTCCATGACAAGGAGAATGCCTACAAAACAGGTGAAACTCATTCAAAGAAAAGAAAAAATCTATTTCAAACAACAGAAAAATTACATTAAGTGCCACGATTTCTAGGAACGACCCTTTTGTGATTTAAAAGTCAATTTCAATAAGAAAATCATAATTAGGCATAACCAAGTTAATGACATGGGAAGAAGAGTGAAACACTATAGAAGCAGATTGGCTAGTTTAGTTATGTGTTTTGTCCGCACTGTTAATTTATGAAACTATATTTTCTCATAGAAAAATGCTTGCTCCATTTTTTGGGGTTAGGCTATGTTAATAATTTGGCCTTTTCTTTTTGCACCACTTTTCTGATTTTCGGAAGTAATTAGTACCTTCCAGAATTTAATTTCCGGAAGATATAAAAAAAGGGGTGGTCCGGTTTGAAAAAACTGTGGTGCAAAAAGAAAATTCATGATAATTGGTAAAAAAAAATTTGTTTTTTTTTTTTAATTGAGAATAATCGGTACTATTGACATTGGTAAATTTGTTGCTTCAAAGTGGCTTTTGCAGGGTAGTTGTTGGGCCTAGGGGGAGTGATTAAACAATAATATGGATCATGGAACATTGTCATTGGTGAAGGCAGATTCATCATGCTTGTGAAGTTTGTGCCAAGTGTCGCTCCTGGAATGCTGCCAATGCTGAGCACATTTGTATAAGCTAAGGGGTCTCATGGTTTTTGAGAGGGAAGTCATGTTTATTTGCTACTTTTTCCTTGTGTGAAAATGAACCATGTCCTATCAAATTTTAACCTGACACGATCATGCTTAAATTTTACTGCTATTTTCTTTCCTATTTATTCTTAAAAATTACAATCGTAGTACATTTGTACATGGTAACTAGCAAGTGAATCTGTTGAAGCATACTTTTTTTGCCATACAATCTAGACAAAGTGTAGCTAATCAGCTATTACAGTACAAACTAGGACACTAACTTTTGATCTGATTGTGTGGTATTAGCACGGCTAAGACGTTTCTTCCTGTATCTCCATGCAACCTGAATTCGGTTTGCTGCAAGGGATCTCCAATATGGTGATTCATACCTAACACAATTATCAAATCATTATGTTGTTGTATCAGATATGCAACATGATAATTGTGAATGGATTTTATTGAAAATGAAGCATGTGGATATGTGCCACGGTGATTAGTCACAGTCATAGGCCCAATTTTGGGATAAACTTTTAAATAAATTCTTTTAGGAGAAAAAATTAATATGAAAAATGAATAGAACTTTTCTAACAAGTTAAAAGTAACTTATACTCCTCAAAAACAGAGATATGGAAGTTGATTTTAACTTCTAGGAGAAGTTGGATTCATTTTAACACTTAATTTTGTCTTCTATAAGTACATATTGAGAAGTTTAAGCAAACTAGGTCATAATGGACAACACTCTTCTTGAAAAGATAAATAGGCCCAGTTTAGATTAATTTCTCAATAAATTCTTATAGGAGACAAAAATAAAGAAGTAAAATGAATCAAACTTTTTGCACAATTTAAAATCAACTTATACTCGTTTACTTTTTATCAGTTCTCTCATTTAACTTCTTTGAACTACAATGTACATAAGTTGATTTTAACTTGTGACACATGTTTTATCTCTTTACTTTCTTCTCCTACAAGTACTTCTATAGAAGCTTACTCAAATTGGACTATCGTTGATATTAATTTTTAAGATTGTGGCTAAATATAAAACCAAGTACAAGAATGAAATCAAATGACTGACCTTAGGGCTCCTTGAACATGAGGGTTCCGCAAGAGTCTTGTGAAAAGAATTGTGAGTTCTTCAAGGTCTGCCGCACGAAGTGAAAAGGCCTCCACATTTGTTAAGCATCTTACTGTCCTATTGCTCAGTATCCTCTGTCCTGGAAGCCTTACTTTTTTACCATCTGCAAGAGAAATCACATTGGTGAACCATGCTGTTTCTCATTTTGTAGTTAGGCCAAGTTTCTCATTGTTGCAACTTCTGCTGACCTCTATTTACAGGTATGTTATCATTACATCGAGTATTGCAATACCTGTGCTGACAGAAGAATGTTCAAGATACCATGTCAAAAGTTCTTCGCCACAAGCATCCCCTTCAGACAAGGGAACTCCATTTCCATCTTCTTCAATGCTCTCCAATTTCCCACGCACAATAAAGACCATCTTCTCCACAAGACCACCCCGAGTCAAAATTCTACTTCCTTTGATGTATGTCTTTTGTTTAAGTCTCTCACAAATGGCATCTAAGATAGGCTCATCCATCAGAGCAAAGATTCGAAACTGCAGATATTTTTGATTGTCAGAAAATTAAATAATCATAACAGAACTTTCAGGGTTGTTGATATACTTTGGCTTTTGACGTATTTATGGTTTTAGTTTCATGATGAATAAGCTGATAGACAGACACCTAAAGACAACCAGAATTTTACAATAAACATCAAGATTTCGAAATTCACCTCACATCTGAATCACAACTAAATTTCATTTAATGATTAATCAGGACAATTTTTTTAATTATTACTAGTCATTTATGCCACAAATTTTATAGTGCATACTTTCTTAACAAATTTGAATAGATGACGTCTTATGTCCGTTTGGAGATCTTCTGGCAAATTCTCCAGAAGCCTTTCTTCATTCACCCCCCTTGTTGCAGCCCAATTATACCGTTCAGCTTGTCGTACTCTCCTGCTTGCCAGACATAATATCTATCAGTTGTACATCCTGTGTGATGCATAATTTCGTGTGACATAGATCTTAAATAAGAATAAAAAAACATCAGACATTCCACTTTTTATCGCTCAGACCTTTATGCTATACTGTATAATAATACTCAGTAGCTCCACATATATGTCCATTGCCTATATCACTATGATTATTATTTATTAGATCTAGGAGCTTAATTCATGGGAAGTGAGTGATTGTAAGTGTTGGAAATTATAGGAGTTCATGAAAGGAAAGAGGAAAGCAGAGAAATGAAACTGTCAATAACATTCTACAAAATTAATATGGAGTGTAATAATGATATTCAAAAAGAAAAAGCACTAAACCCTCTTTATATTAATACTAGATTTCAGGTCCTAATTAAATGGGGATGGGGGAGGGGAATTAAAAGTCACTGATCTGCAAAGACATGATTAATGAAAAGAATGAGAAAAATTACATACCTTCGTAGCTCTTCAGGCAAGCGACGATGACTCATCCACTGCTCAACATCACGACCTCTAAGTTGCATTTCTAGCCTCCTGTAAGCAGGATGGAACAAAATATATCAAGCACATCTACAACTTCACTATCACAGTTTAATTAATCCCACAGAATCAGATAAATTGAACTAATCAACAAGGACAAAACAATGCCTATACAGTGTCAGAAAAGTTTTTCCGATGCTTTTGTTAGAAGAACACGAGCTCTTAAAGAGAATTTGAATTTAGAAAAAGAAACTCATACACTACTGCTCACTGTCAATTCCTATAATTATGGATAAAAAATTCCTAGTATTATGCATACAAAAAAAGACAGCTACTCTAATCTTCAAATTATGGGATTCAGACCCGTCAATACTGGAAAGATACTGTACAGCAGAATTCTGACAACAGTATTAACAAGATATCATATTTAGATAGGACTTCTTCCTAGTCCAACTTAAGTGTTTCAGTCCCAAATAATGACTATACAAGTCACATATTAGGTATAGTCAAACTTAAGAGGCATGCTGATGTCATGGAATTACAGCTTACAGTTTGATACAATTACACATATAGGATGGCTGTGATTCACCCAACTGCTTCATTTTTAAATTTTCAAATGAAAATTAAATGTGAAGAGAAGTTTATTAAAAGGGAAGCAGATGATTAAGAGAAACTTTATCATTAACATTTAAGGAGCACAGGAAATTAAGAGAACCAAGTTATACCTCCGTCCAAGAGCCTGAAGAAAGTTCTGTATGTTTCCAACAAGAAGTGCAAAAAGCACGAGTCCCAATCCTATGATGGTCATTGTAAAAAGGACTTCCCACACAAAATTACTCGGGGTTTGATTTCCAGCCAGAGTACTAATTTGCTGTATCAAAGATCACAAGGGTGTAATTGTTAAGTGATACCAAAACATTAATGTGCTTTCTAGTGTTGGTCTAAGTTGGACCTTGACATGATATTAAAGAATGAACATACGACATGTTCCGAAACTCACACCTTATTCCAAATTCTCATAAGGAAAATGTTATGTGGTACTAATGTTTTTCACAACTTACAAACAGTTAAAAGTGTAAAAAGTTTATTGCCTGTTGTCAATTACCCATTTCTTTTTCAAACCTTATTATTTTTCTCTCTCCAACACGATTGGTTATGAGGCAACAGTAGCAATTTCAACAAAAAAATCTTCCATATCAAATAATATTGTTCTTGTAATCAAATTATAATTACAGCACAACATAAACCAGCTATGAGCTTTGTCGATATTTTAATCCCTACAGGATTACCAGTGTTGGGATTTAGAGAGAGAGAGATCAGGGAGAAGGATTTGTTTTATATTAAATAAGATTATTAACTTTTAGTTAAATTTCTATGTATATCTCTATAATTTAAAATTTGTAATGAGATGCCTATATTTTTGAAAATTTTTAAGTCTTTATTGACTAATGGTTGGTTAGACTTCATTAATGGACTCTTATAGTAATCTACAGGTCATGGATGTATCAAGTGAGAGGTTAGAGAAATGAATCTTGACAATTCAATCTTAAACTGATGTATCAAATTGGTTTAATTTAAATCTAATCTTGAGATTCCATAGAAGATTGAGTTGTTAGGATTAGCTCCTTTCACACGCTCATTTGATGAGCTACCCCCACCCCCCACAAATATATGAATGTATATATATGTACATAATTACTGCTGAAGGAATAAAAAAGAACACGAAATGGGTACCTGGAAGCCCCAAAACAGGGAAAACACATATTTGTTGATCACCTTAGTTTCCACAGTAAGTGATACAGCATTGGCATAGATCCCATAAGAAAACGCACCAGAACTAGAATTCAAACAAGCTATTGCATCTTTATTGCTGTTCCATAGATCTGATTTTCGAAGCAATGAACTGCCTCGGCCACAGTCAATGAATGTTGTGCATCCAGTAATATTAGAACCATGGCAGGCATTTCGTAAACATTGATTAACCCTCTGGAAGAAGCAAGAGGGATAAAAGGAGTCAGTTAATAATATAATACCCTTCACTTACAGAATCAAATTCCCAATACTAATTGAAATGCTCATCTTGAAAGAAGCCAAGGAGTTATAACAACTCTGTTAGTTGAATTTCATAATCAAAATTAACAAAATAAGTAGAAGGAATAAATTTCTGTGCACATACCAATACCATACTTCATTTCACCTATAACTCTTGTTACATGATATCACATTCATATAAATTGTGTGATACATGAATGAATCGGTGCAATTCATATCACCAATATGAATCACACAGTATGCCATTTTTTCCGCTTTCACTGATGCTCATTAAAGAAAATTGAGAAGTCGGACAATATTGTTAAATGAAAAGGAACCGAAGGAACACACCCATTTGATTATTCCACTACTCTGTTCTCATCCTTCTAAAATTGGGGTTTAACAGAGTCTCTTGTTCATTCTGTGCAGTCTACTTAGCTATTCCATTTTTTTTCATTTATTTTATATACATAGGCATCACACTCAATTCTACGAAATTTTTTTAGACTCATGCATAAATGGTTTTGTTAATTTTCCCATTTAAAATATTACAACAAGCACTATACATCATTAAATGGTACATTTGAAATTATTTTTCATTGCGTCTCCAAATCCTAAAATTTGCTACAATTTATGATTCACAATTTGAATCTCAATTTGATAACCTTGATTATATTATGTATGAACACATGAGAAAAAAAAGCATTCAAGTGAATGGAGCAATATTTCTTATGTATTCTCATTTCGTTCCATGTAGGGTACATTTCCTCCTATTCCAGGCAAGATGATAATTTAAATCAAATTATGAAATGTATTGCGGAAGAGATTTTGTATCTTTTGAAAATGAAGCTTCAACTGTGATTTTCACTCACCTGTAGACCAAAGAGGTACCAGAAAGAGCCAATGACATGGCTAGCTAGCATAATAATGAGAAGATTTATAATGCAATTTGCCCAAGCTGACTCAAATATGAATCCAGTTGGAGACTGGCCAATTAGCAGAGGTAGAAACCTTAATAATCTGGGAAAATACTGCACAAGGATTCCAGCACGTAGAAGATTCTTGGCATAGTTTGCTCCTGATGCACCCAGGTAATTTGGTAGGACAAACAATATCATTATCTGCAAATATTTCACTACATATGTCATGATAAGGATGTTGATGAGCACAGAATAAACCCATAGCCTTTTCACATATTGAAAACCCTTTACTTTCCATGCCACCTACTTGATCTCAAGCGCATGTCCATGTCCATAGACTATTATTTCCTCAGAAGAATACACCAAACAGTGTAATCATTGAGAATAACTTCAATTTGAACATGAAGATGTAGAACAAGAAGCGGTTTATAAATGGCAATAAGAAATGGAAACATCAAAGACCTTGTTTTCTTATTACATCTAAGATACAAAACAATTGAAAATTTACCCATGACAAGAACATATGATTCGATTTTTTATTTTGTCAAATCTTATTAACTCCAATAAAAGGAGAGCAAATATCAATAAGTATTCATGTTCAGTTGTAAGGCAGTATATCTTATAATTAACATCAGAAAAACATACAAGTAAATGCCAAAATACTAAGTTACAATCAATAAACTTAGCCAAAAAATGTTTCCATGAGGATAAAAACAGCGATGGGAAGAAATTTACCTGAGGAAGAGGAACTACAACAAATAGGTCGATAAGAAAATAACCCTTCAGATAATGAAGAGCAATTTTCTTGGGATGGTCCTCTAAATCTCCAGCACCAACCACCCTTGACTCAGGTGAAACATAAGCCAACCTAAACTGCAAAGAAGCAACTTACTAGAGTTATTTAAGCTTTAAAATATGGAAAGGGAGCAAATCATACTTAAATTCAGAACACATGCATCTGATTCTTTTCCTTTTGTCTAATAAAAAGAAAGCAAGGCATGCATTAAAACACAAAGATGCAGCCATATCTTATCAATAAGGTTGAAGTCCAGTTATCCATATCATCTGAGTCAATTAGTTATTCCATTTATGGCTGCTTGTTCCATTCACTCCCTGCTTATTGAAACTGTCTATATTCATTCAAAAAAAAAAAAAAAAAAGAGAATACATGATAAATATGAAACACCCTGTAGACAGCGGTATATCATTCTGTTAAGTATGATTCACTTGATTACAGGCTTGTATCAGGTGGAACTAAGATTCACAGCAAAACAATCAATATTTTGTATCAACCTGCTTCTTTATTTACTAAGATATAGAAGTTTAACAGGAAATGTTTAGCATGTTTTTGGAGCTTCAGTTTATTCTCTACCAAATAATATAAGACACAAGAGCCAACCTAAACCCTGTTATCTGTTGCTAGAAAATTCTCTTGAAATTATCAGCATATCTACCTTCTCCATACCATTAAAATTGAATAATAAAAACATTTCTGACAAAGAAGGAACTTGACTATATATTTCAAGCTAACAACATGCCATGGTTGGCGCCATTCTACAAATATGTGCACAACACAAATAAAACATAAAGGGATGGGGGAGGGGAGAGTTCTGAAAAGGTAGTTACTGAGAAATTACCTGGAGAAGAATGTTCAAGAAATATACAAAATCATTGAGACTTCTAAGTAAAACAAGTGCTGTTGTCATTGTCCAGTTGATAGCAATACATTTATCATCCTGCATATAATGAATAGGAAAAATGTGGAATAAATTTGCAAAAAAAAAAAAAAAAAAGCAGGGAAAGATTAGTTTTTACATGTGGGAAGATTCTGCAATTAAATAATAAGAAAAGAATCATACCTTCTTCACATAGATTAAGAAGAAAAACAATGGATCAGCAAAAATTGCCACCATGCAAAAAATGGCCAAAATCTTGTTCCATTGTTGTACAATGTTAGTGTGAGGGTTCATAACTCCAGGAACATATGAAGAGCAGAAAGAACAAAATTTTCTCCCAAAACCCTTGGCCTCCCCATAAAGAGAATTGTGGAACTGTAGACAGTCAAAACATGAACAAAAGTATGCTTGATCATGTTAAAATGACAACATATATTATCTACAAAAAAAAAATGCAAAAAAGGTCACAAGAGTATCAACTATCAAGTATGATGATACAGTAAAGTTTGTCATAATGGCCTTTAAAATATAAACGATGAGACAGCCTGAAATTATCAATTGACAATGCTTCTATTGCCTGTAAAGTGGACAATGTTATCAATGAAAAAGAACAATATAAAAAGATGCAGCTTGAATATAATTTTTTTTTATTTGAGAATATGGTAATAAGGAAATCAAGAGGGTAACAGAATGGTCTCCTCTCTTTAAAATATGAGAGAAAACCATTGCTAAACGAGTATATGAAAAATTAATGATTATTTTCCAGATTGTACATTAATTATTGCTGTATGCTTTTTCTACATATTCTGAATTTTCTATGGCAATGGTTACTCCTGATAGACTGAAATTACATAACAAGCAAACATGAGATGCTGGAGTAGGGCCTTAGGAGTTAGGACACTAAAGCCACAATCTTTAGTCATGAATATAGATATAAGCAACTAGCAATTAAATAGAATGCTTTTCACAGAAATACCATTCAACATCTTGATGTGTTAAAATATAGGAGATGATGTAGTAGTGCAAACGCGACAATATAGAACTAGAAACGTAGATTTATCACATTGATTGAAAAATATAAAAGTGAAACTATGCATAAGTATGAAAGTATATGCTACTTAAGTGCAACATCATTCACTGAAATATGTACAAATTATGATAACTAAAAGACATCATAGTGAACTCCTGATTTGGGTCAAAATAAAGATGATTGTATAGCGCAAAATCACATTTCTAGAAAAAAGTTTTTGGCTATGCATTATATAATTAAATTCAACTGCAAAACATAGAAGTCAATGTTTTCTTAAATTCAAGGAGAAATAATAGTCAGTTTTAGGAATAATGGCACCTTGGGATCAAATATAGTTGAAGCTTTTTGATTTCTTGACTGAGAAGCCTTGACATAAGTAGGGCATGTAGTACAATATGGATCATTACACATTCCCAGTTGTCCAGACCTCATTAAGTGTTCATTTTTTCTATCATAGTTGTTATCCCAATGATTTTCATCTGAGACATCAAAAGTAGAAAACTTCTCTGTCTTGCTCTCCACTACTTTGTTTCCTGTCACACCTATACTCTGCCGTGAAAGATTTGCAGTTCCATGGCTAGCAAATAGTGGACCACTCATCTGTATAAAGGAGTTTTTTCTCACACTGCGTAGTGGACCAGTATGTCCCACAAGACTAGTTTCTTTCTCATATGATTCCAATGAGGCCATAGGAATAGAAATTGATGCACTTCGTGTCCTAGATACAAGCTGTCGGAATTTAGAATCCTCAGCTTCATCGGATAGTTGGACTCGTGACTCTGACAGCATTGGCACCTCATCTTTTTCAAAATGAGCCATGCTTCCCTGTGATTCTGTAATTTATGTGAAACTAACAAAACTTTAATATATACATATCTGTACCACATCAGCAATTTTAAAACAAAACCATCAAATTTAGCTCAAAACTTGAAAGGGGAGAGAACAAACTAAAAAAACAGTAAATGAAAAGTCAAGGACTTTACTTCAATGACCAAGCCATATGGAATTTAATGAATCATCATAAGCTATGATGCATGGACTCTTACGTGAACACCAAACACCCCACAGACATTCTGATACGGCTCTATGTTAGTCATTATATTGGAAGTTTGTAATGACACAAAAAGATAAACAAATGCCCCTTGTATTAAGAAAAAAGTAATGAATTCCCTTCTTCTGAAGCCTGGTTGGAAGAAACCAAGTAGACATAAATCTACCTACACTAACAATAAAATCACTGAAATGCATCACCATCCAGCCTCTCTAGCTTTCATGGGAGGGTTGACAGTTTACAAACACATCTTCTTTACCCTTAATGCCATTGTTCCTCCCACTACACGCACATGTTCTTGAGTTCAAACTTAGAAATCAGCACATACACACTAAATTACAACAATATGAAGCATTATAATGCTTGAGTTATTGCAATTATCACAGTATAATGTAATGCCTAATAAGCCTAAGTCACAGAAAAGGCCATGAAGAAGCAGCAATAATCAAGAGAGAAAACAAGCCCAGAAAGAGTAAAACCTGGTTGAAGAGGAACTGAAATTCCAATGAAAATCCCACCAAGTATTCAAGATAAAGCAATCATTTTTGGGAGCTTGATGGTGATGGAGGAAAGTGGAAAGCAAATGCTTATAGACAGAGTTAATAAGATACAGAAATGCGGAGTGTGAAAGCGCATGTATAAGTATCAACCCCGTGAGAGAGAGAGAGAGAGATAGAGATTTAAGAAGACTTTGAAACTTTGACAAAGTCAATTGTGAGTTGAAATTGTCAGTGCGTTTGATATGTTCTGTTTTGAACAGACCACAACATAAGTCGTAGTAAGTGCATAACAAAACTTGTTTCAAGCTGATATTGTAAGTAACTCTCAAATTTTCATTTGAGCTTTGTTATATTTCTTAATATTTTTTTATTCTATAAAATAAAAATAAAAGAGAAAAGAATTTAAAGTTATTATTTTTTATTTGTTAATATAAGTACTTATTTGAAACATTTAAAATTAACATTATTTTATTAAAGTGTATATAAAACTTATTTGTTGATATTTTAAACAATTCTTATATTTTTTATTTTTAATATTTATTCTAATGACTGATTTTAAACATCCAAAATTATAATTTTTTATTAAAAAAAATATTACATTAAAATATAAAGGTGTAAAGGTTTTAAACATCCAAAATTGTAAGCTTCTGTAAGTTGTTTTATATAAAAAAAAAATGCTTATGTTAGTAATTATTTAGTGTTTTTTAAAAAGAAAATATAATATATAATTTCTTTTTTCAATTAACAGAAGTTAATAGTAAGATTCCTTGAAAATATATGTCTGTATTTGAAGGACAGGTTTTGATTCATTCATAAAATTAGTATGTGTCACAAGATTTCTAAGTGATTATCGCCAAACAATAATTAAAAAAACAAACTCATGCAACAGCCGAAAGAATCTTAATATTTTCAGACAGCTCCCACCGACAGAGATTCACTAATTAATTAATATTATTAACAAAACCCTATTATTAATTAATTAATTAATTATTGTACTTATTATAATAGTAATAATTATTTCATATATAAATATCAACACAGTAAAAGTTATCATTAATTAAAATTAGAGTTTTATTTTAACAAAATAATTATATTTAATATTATTATATATTAATAAAATAAAACTTTAATTTTAATTAATAAATAATATAACAACATTTATAAAATTAAAAATTTATCTTTAAAAATTACCTGCAACGTTTTTTTTTTTTTTTTTTTATCTTAAATAGTTTAATGAAATATTTTATTATTTGAAAAAAAGAATATAAAATAGTATATCAACGTGGATGCTGGGTCGTTGGCAGGCCTGCAAAGTAGTTATTATATATTAATTGCGGATTGAAAGCCTTCAATGAGACGTCATCTTCATTTCTAATGCAACTTCTCACGTTAAATTGTATCCGCAAAATATCGGGTCAAATTATGAAGGAAAAAAAATTTAATTAAATAAAATTTATATATACATTAATAAAATATTAAATAATGTTAAAATAATATATAAATATCAAATTTTAGATAATATATTTTAATTACGTGAAATTTAATATAAATAATAAAAAGTATAATATAAAATAAATTAATAATTGGATTAGAGAAATTTATAAAAGTAGTTTATTTTTTTTAATATCAGTATGTTACTTTATTATTTATCATATGATAGAAAATAAAAATATATATTTAATTGATTAAGTTATCTTCAACAGCTCAATATCTAATTTTAATTCGTTCATCTCCCAGTAGACCCACCTAATTTTTGTTGTAATAAATGCTCACAGAGCTAAGGGACGAAATTGCTGCAACAGCCATGAGTAACTTCTTATCAAGTCAGGTTTAGATTATTAATAATGTTTGATAAAATATAATATTAATAAATTTAATTTAATATTTTAAAATTATATATTAAATTTTATATAAATTAAATATTTATAAATATATTATCTAAAAAAATATATAAAAAATTGTTAATTTACTTTAGTAAAAATTTTATAAAGTTAACTTATTTGATAAAATTTTTTAAATTAACGATTAAATTAATTAATAGCATATTTTATAAATTTTATTAAATAGTATAAATATATAAATTTAATAATTAGTATATCGTAACTCATATAAATTAAATTAAATTAGATTAACAAAAAGAGAAAAAAAATGTACCAATTAAAGAAACATCATATGCTTGGTATTAGATCACTTAACATAAAAATGCCAGTGCTTCTTTCATCTTATGGTGTCTAAATTTTACAAATGCTGAATGACCCTATGCGAACATATTTTCATTAGAGGAAATGCTCAATTTGATATCTTAAAATTATATATGCGAACAGATTATTTTCTAATTAAAAAGTTTATTTATTAATTAAGTTAGCATATAAAACTTGCATTTTGTTATTACTTTAATCTTTTAAAAACTTTATCATCAAATTAATTTTAAAAATTAAATTAGTGAAAATAAAAACTCTGAAAGTTTAATTTGGTGATTATAAATGAAGCTTTTGAGAAAAAAGATATATAGGATGTAAATTGATTAGTCCTTATGCAGGGGGAAATAAAAATGATCATGAATATTGTCACATTTTAGATATTTGAAGATTAATTTAATGAAAGATTAACAATTTTGAAATATTGATTTAGTGAAAAATTCTTTGAAAAATATGATCACAAATTAACATGTGGTCAATATTGGATCAACTCACCCATAGAGATGGTGGTAATTAATATTATCTTCCCATAGTCATTCCTGGAACCATGAAAACTAATATTCCCTTTCTAGGTATTGTCGCCTCAATTAAATTGAATATATATAAGAAAAGATAATGCCACTTTTTTAATTGCATAAATTAAGATGCTCTTAGCATCATTGTTACACATGGTGAAATGCTTAGATTAGTTAAGGGAGGAAAGGTTTAATTCTATTTTATAACTGTGTCTTTGTTTTTATTATGCTAATAATATTCAGCTTTTTAATATGCATATACTTTGCAACTGTTAAGCAATATTTAAGATCTTGCTAAGTTGGAAATGGGCCATCTTTAGACATTAATTTAATGTAGCACACTCAAAGTTATATAGATTCTTTCATCATCAAAGCTTGAAAGCAAGTCGTTTATGAGAGATTAATGCACCTTAAATTCAAAACAAGACTCTATATTTTAAGCAACATGTGACAACAACAAATTCTTCTCGTTCTAAGGTCATTAAAGAAAGAAGGTAAAAAATAAAATATTTGACACATGTAACATAATTAACAACAACAACTAAATTTTTTCAGACTAAGTAAAGTTGGCTGCATGAATCACATAGTGTTATTAAATTTAATTTAAAACAATTTTTAAAAACATGATTAATCAAATGTTCTTTTTAATAATTTAAAAAAATTGATGTCTTTTTTGCCTTTTTTTTTATTGAATTAAAAGTTATACAATTTATTTTTCTCACTGATACTCCCAGAAGTTTTCTTTTGGTGTGACTAAATCACTTTAGATTATTTTTACTTATCCTTTCATTATAAATACTATTTCAACTTTCACTAGAATCAAACCATAAAACATTGAATAATGCAAAGCATTGAACTAGAAACAACGAAAAATACAAATGCAAGACTCACAAAATAGCTCACATATCCTCTACACAAGTACACATGACATGCCCCAAATGTCACCAGCAACTTGGATTTGACATTCTACCAAACAAGTAATAGGAAGATAAAATAAAGCTAAATAAATAAGCAAAAAATAAACAAAGACTCCTTTCCAAGCATGTTACCAAAAAGTAAGGAATAAAAAATGTAGGAATATTTGAATGAATAATGAGTAGAAACACGATGCATTGACTTTATAAGGTTCAAGTTCTACAGTCAACAATGGTAGGAAAAATAACTGAAAATATAGAACTGATTATCTAACAGTGGTATCCTTGTACATTAAATTCAGAACCACTCAATCTATTTCCAAGAATGCAAACTAAAAATTTTCCCTCAGAAGTACAAGAAAGGTTAAATTAATTTTTAGCTGGCCCACTTTTTAAGATATTAAAGATTTTCATTAATTTCCCTTATATTAAAAAAGTATTGATAATGATCTCTATCAAAATTGATGCAAAGTATAACTTTGTGGGGTGGTCTCGCACTATCATTTAACTGATAAACATACTATATATAATAATAAAATAAAATAATATCTTATTGTAAAAAGAAAATTCCATTCAAATAAATTAAAATTTCCATTTTATAAAATGACCTCAATTTTAGCACTTGTTCTAGTTTTGTTGTTTTGACCAGCCTTCACTGCTTGTTAAAATAAAGAGCCTAGGCCCATTTCGTTTTACTGTTAGATTTGACTTTTCTAAAAGGAGGAGATGGAAGATTCCTGTGATTTTAACATTAACGAAAAAATGAATATTATGAAAGCTAGTGAATATGAGATATTTTGTTGGATTTTACACAAATTAACTATACTGAAATATTACAATATATTACAATAAAAGCGAAGACTACAATGTTTAATCTGAAAATAACGAATTAACACGACTTAGACATTTCTTCTTGTATCTCCATGCAACCTGAATGCGGGTTGCTGCAAGGGATCTCCAATAAGGTGATTCATACCTAACATAACACAATTATTAAATGGTTATGCCAGCCATGGATTTGAAAGCAGAAATTCGGCTTTTTATGAGTAAAAACCAAAAAACTTGTTACTTGTTACTTGAACATACATATTAAGGGCATTTATATCTTTTAATTTTTCATGTTGGGAGGTCAAAGATGGATTTGAATCCAAGGTGGTGTGGCAGTGTGTATATCAACCATTCAATTTCATATTTTCAAATATGTAATATGATAATAAAGGTTTACTAAGGGCAATTGGCCATTGAGATCTAAGCAACGATACATAATGGAACAAAACTCTACATGAAACAAATTTTGTTAATGGCAATGATACTTAGATAGACAATATCCCCACCAAGAACAGTATTCATGTGGATAGAAACACAAATTTTAAAGCAAAAGAGAATTTCAATTTTAGCATGGGTCATTTTAGACATGATAAAATGATATCTATTTATCTAATGATATAAAGGTTCAAAAGTTAAAAAAAAAATACAAAATATAAGTAGAATTGTTTATGATGTGTTTGACACACACACACTTGTGAGACAAGGGTATGTCAAACTACCATCACTGGTTAGATAATTTTCACATTTGTTTAAGTCATAAGAGAAGCAAAAAACTTATACTAAGAGAAGAGAGTGACCTTAAGGCTCCTTGAACACGTGGACTCCGCAAGAATCTTGTGAAAAGGATTGTAACTTCTTCAAGATCTGCAGCATGGAGGGAAAATGCCTCAACATTTGTTAAGCAGCTTACTGTCCTACTGCTAAGCAATCTCTGTCCTGGAAGCCTTACTTTTCTACCATCTGTAGGAGAAATCATAGTAATGAACTGATAAGAATCTAGAGAAGAATCACACTACAAAAGCTAGTTGTTGTAATTGGAGAGCCCAAGGTCTTATAAATCTTGCACTTGAATCCCATACTTCTTACTTGAGACACAAGTCTCACAATTTGTAATAGGATCTTAAAATAAACTACAGTAGAAACTCTTTAAATTAATAATGTCAGGACCGGAGAAATTTATTAATTTAGAAAGTTATTAATTTATCGATAAATTAATAATTATTAATTTAAAGAGTTTTTAAGTAATTATACTGTACATACCAAACAAAAAGGCAAATTAATCTATGCCTCTTAGAATTACGTTGTAGCAAATCTTGGGACTCAACGTACAGTAAATTAATAACTACACTACATATGCATTGGAAATTAATAATGACTTTTGAAGTACAGTAAATGTAAACAAGAGGAACAAATGTGTTCAATGTATTCTTAAGCAAGTTTGGCATATATAAATTACATGAATGTATTAGAGTATTCAAACCATATCTCACAAGATGGCTTCTCATTTAAAAGGTGTTGCAAAATCAACTATGTCAGATCAAATACGTAAGGAGTTGTGTGAGTATAAGAAAGATAATCCTGCAAGCACACAAAAAGACTTGCAGAGATGGCTTGAGGGATAATCTCTTCACCTGAGCTATTGGATGCAATAAGAAAAGTTAGAGACGAGCTCCAAATAGACTTGAACTTTAAAGGAAAACAGACAACTATTGAATCATATTTCAATAGAGTGTAATATATTTTTTTCAGTTTCTATGAATTATTAATTTATAATTTTCTTGGGACCAAAAATTATAAAGGGATTTCCTGAAAAATTATTATCTTATTATTTTATCGAGTTTTTCAATTTTTTATATTGGCCCAAGTCGGGATCGGATAAATTTATTATTTTAGAGAGTTTATTAATTTATCGAGTATTAATTTAAAAAGTTTTTACTGTATATAGCTTCTCATTTTCTGGAGACCAATCTGCTGATTAAAGTTTATAGTAACTCAAGTTGACCTCTACCTGTAAAATATTTAATAAATTTTATAATTTTTAATAAAATAAATATTATAACTATTAATAATGAGTATTCTATTAAATGAAAAATCACTTGACATTATGAACAAAAACTAATCCCTAAAAACACTCCAGTGTGAGGATACTCTTCAAAATGCTTTCAATTAAGAATTACCCTAAAAAGATTGCATTAAAGAATTAGTACTCACAAATTACTTATAGAGGTTGATTATTCATTGCATGAAAGATTGCTATACCTGAGCTGAATGAAGAGTGCTCTAGATACCATGTCAGAAGTTCTTCACCACAAGCATCTCCCTCTGATAAGGGAACTCTAGTTCCATCTGCTCCAATGCTTTCCAATTTCCCTCGCACCACAAAGAACATGCTCTCCACTAACCCACCTTGACGCAAAATTCTACTTCCTTTGATGTATGTCTTTTGTCTTAGTCTCTCACAAATGGCATCTAAGATAGGCTCATCCATCAGTGCAAAAATTCGAACCTGCAGGCATTTTAGATCAATTGAAAATCGACATAAATTGGTATGAAGTGTTGAAGAAAATTAAATCATCAATAAAGAGATGAGAGAACTTTCAGGGTGACTTGTACTTAGGCTTTCATCATATCATTTATTTAATTTCATGATGATGCATAAAAATTTGACTTCAAAATGGTTTTCACATGCAATCATCTATCTTAGTGAAATAGAATTTTAATGGAAATAGTGGATGAGACTTCAAGGTCATACTTTCTTAACAAAGTTGAATTGATGACGCCTTATGTCCCTCTGGAGATCTTCTGGCAAATCCTCCATTAGCATTTCTTCATTCACCCCTCTTGTTGCAGCCCAATTAAACCGTTCAGCCTCTCGTACTCTCCTGCATGAGAAAATATATTATCTATCACATGATCCATAACTCTATGTGACTTAGTACCTCCATCAAAATGACAAATGGTATTCTTAGAATTCAGGCCTATGAACATGCTATTGCTATATCATTCAATATTTTTTACCTTCAGAAATTGCTATCTTAAACTAGTCATCATATAAAACACTGATTGTGACACAGAAAGGTAAATTGCTCATGTAAAATTTTCAAGAAAAGATGTTATGGGAGGAGTGGGGAGTTAACAAGAAGTGACTTCAATTACTTTTTGGCACTTTAGATGTGATATTTTAAAAGAACACATTTGGTTTCATGTTTAACTGATCATGGATTGGCATTTACTTCAATCCTCCTAGTCGTGACTTCTGCATTGGATTCAAATTTACAATTTTTTTAACGTGTTTCCAAACACTAGAAAATTTTATACCTTCTTAGATCACCTGGTAATCGTCGATGGCTCATCCATTGCTCAACATCCTGGCGTCTAAGTTGCATTTCAAGCCTCCTGTATATAAAACGGATAGAAGTAAATATATCAAGTGTATTAGGATGATAAGTGCATTAGAGTTTGACTATTAAAGTCTAATTAAAACTTGCAGAATTTGTTTCTACCTCCTTCCAAGAGATTGAAGAAAATTTTGGAAGTTTCCAATGAGAAGCGAAAAAAGCAAGAGTCCCAATCCTATTATGGCAATACCAAAAAGGACTTCCCATACAAAATAGCTAGGGACTTGATTACCAGCAAAAACACTGATTTGCTGCATAAAGATCATGTGATGTAAGTGTCAGAAGTATCTGATCATTCATGCATTTGTATTCACTTAACAACTTTAGTTTTCAGGAGTGGTAGTAAAAGTCATGCCTTTACCATTAACATCATATCATAGCATCTATTATAAAGTGGATAGCAGATCAAGCGTGATTCATTATAGTTCAGGCTAATCATAAAATGGGCAAGTGCTTTCAGTCTTTCACTTAACTACTTCAGTTTTTGATACTTCTAAATAATACAGCTTTTCTAACGTGTGTCCAATGACACACAATAAGAACCTATATAGAGTAATTCTTTTCTTATAAATCACAAGATATCACATAATTCAATGCAATGACAACATTAAATGCTACACTTTCCAATAAAAAATTACTTTTTATTGATTAGAAAAACCGTAGATTATACTATTAATAGGTTTTAAGTAATTTGTAAAACTACATTAATTAAATTACTTATATTGCATCTTATTTAATTTTTAGATTGAAACATAAAAATTACATATATGTCCATATTTGAAGTATCTTATTGTGAGAATAACTTAAATTAAATATGGTTTATATAGCTTGGAACAAAAAAGTGAATTAAAAGTTGGAACTTTCTTGGAGAGTTGGAAAGTTCACCCTCCTTGGTTCTAAAGTTACCTGACTTATGTCAAGTCAAGCTTTTCAATAACAGTAAAGCCAATAAGTAAAAATGATGGCTTTGGGGCAAGGAAAAAATGAGTGCTAACTTTAGTGCGCATTGTAGACATGTAGTGTGTGAGATTTGTTGGGTGAGTGAGAAAAGTTTATTGATTTATATTTTGGTAACTGGGATTTTGATTTTGTGAGAGGAATTGAGAAGAAATTGTGAATAGTTATTTTGTCATCATATTTTTATCTTATTGATTCTTCTGCGTACGCATTTGATGAACCATCTTAAATATATTTATGATTATTTAATTGTTGAAATTACTTTATTTGCAGCACTATCATTAGTCATTCAACACATCTTTGATACTCTTCTCAAGGGGAAATATCTCATAAAAATTATTTTGACACCAATGAATAATCACAAAATTCACCATGAAACCAAAACTTTAGTAGAAATACCTTAAATCAGCATATATGTTTTTAAATTTTATATGGAAATGTTAACCATCGTACTTCACAAGCTTCCTCAAATTTTACGTCAATGACATTTCATCCTCACTATATAAATAATATCATTATCTACAAAATTAATACCGAAGGAAAATCAATAAAAAATGAAATACATACCTGGAATCCCCAAAACAGAGAAAACACATATTTGTTAACCACATTAGTTTCTATTATAAGTTGGACAGCAGGGGCATACATCCCATACTGAAAACCACCCTGGGGAGGGGGATTCAAACAATTGTAGGCATCTGTATTGTTGTTCCACTGAGCTGATGCTTGGTCAATCTGATTGTGTTCCTTATGGCCAAGTCCACAATCAACAAGTTTCAGGCATCCAGGTATATTAGAATTATGACATGCATCTCTTAAACACTGATTAACCCTCTGAAAGAATAAAAGGGAAAAAGTTAGTAGATTAATTGTTACTTAACATTCATGTGTAAATTGATGGTTCCAATTAAACCACTCAATTTTAAAGAATCCAATCCAACAATAAGTACTAAATTTTGGTTTCCTAGAGTACTGAATAAAGGGAGTTTTCCTCTTCTTGCATGAAAGTGGAGAATTTACAGAAAATCATGTAATTTAATGAGGAAGAAATTTGGTATTTTTTTAAAACGGTTTTTCTAATGCGTGCCTAAGGAAATATGTTAAGAAGCATTAAATTTACCCTATTAAATACTTTCAATCAGCATAAAATTTATGCATTAAATTTATTTTATAAATTTGAGATAATAAACTTTATTTTTAATAAAAAAATTATTTTTAACACTTCTTAATATGTGCCTTGGCACACATTAGAAAACCCGGTTTTGAAAAAGAAGTTATAAATGTCATTCAACTCACCTGTAGACCAAACAGGTACCAGCAAGAGCCAACAACATGGCCAAATAGCATAAAAATGAGAAGATTTAAAGTGAAATTTGCCCAGGCTGACTCAAATATGAAGCCTGTTGGAGACTGGCCAATTAGCAGAGGAAGAAACCTGAATAATCTGGGAATATACTGCACTAGGATCACTGCACGCAGAAGATCTTTAACATAATTTGCTCCCTCCATGGAATTTGGTAGGACAACTAATATAATTATCTGCACATATTTCACTGTATATATGTCATGACATGGAGTTTGGTGAGTATATAAACCCAGAGTGGCTTCTATCTTGTTCATGGATTGAAACTTGAACTGCCAGAGACAATTTATTGCTAAGAATGCACTCCAAATGTTTAAACCATTGTGGTACACTTTAAACGTTAACATGATGACATGGAAGAAAATGCAGTTTATATAGATAAAGATAGAAACAAGTCAACAAAAATCTACTAAGCTTATGCCATAGCATGAAAGTTGTTAGAGACTAAAAAAAATTTCTGGCATATAACTAGAAGCTTAAGGTTTGGATAATTGATTCTTGACAAGTATCAAACTCCCTATGACTAATTGTCAAGAGGTTGATCCTTATTTCTGCTATTCTATTAATAAATTTCAATTTCAACGTAATTTTAAGGTGGGACTGTGGCATTTCAAGTAGAATTTGCATTCAGGAATTTGTGAGGGTAAAAGCTATTTATATGCAACACCTAAGATTTTAAAGTTTTAGATATGTGGTTCGTGGAACTGTAATAACAGTATATTCTATCATAGAAAACCTTGTATTTGGGAAAGGAAGGATTACAACCATTGATTAGAAAATCAAAGTTTGAGATTTAAACAAATTCATAGTTTGTTATATACAATATATGTGCAAGCATTTGATCGCAATCTCAACCATTGATTTTCCAATTAATGAATATAATTTAATTAGTGTTTCCTTACTTATTTAGGACAATAATCTCATAAGTACATAATTAATATCGGCGGACCTTACTGATTGTATGTCTCATTTGTCAAATTATTAAATCCCAAGAAATCCAAAATCACAATCTCAGTAAAATGGCAACATTAGGGGCGTTCGTGTTTCTTTTTACCAAAGATGCAAGACAGCTAAAAATTTGACTGTGACAGGAACTTACATATGTTGCAAGATGTCTAGAAAATATGTTGTTTCAATCTAATGATCCCCCAGAAATAGAGTGAAAATATCAACAAGTATTTATTTCAATTTTTAGGCTAGTATATCTCATTATTCATAATTTACATGTGAACCAGGGTGGAATGTACAAATGGATACCAAAAATATTAAGTTCTGATGTGAATGTACAAAAATAAGGGAGAGAGGAGAAGAAATTTACCTGAGGAAGAGGAAGTATGATAAAGAAGTCAAAAAGAAAATAACCCTTTAAGTAATGAAGAGCAATTTTTTTGGGATGGTCAACTAAATCTCCAGCACCAACCACCATGGATTCAGGGGAGACATAAGCTAATTTAAACTGCAAAGAGGAAACTTGGTAGAGTTATTTAAGCTTTAAATTTAAAAAAAAAATAGAATCATTTCATTTCTTTTTTTTCTTCAACTCTACTTTATATGGCAGCTGACACTGTATGTCTTATTGTCAGTATATAATACATAGTAATACTACTATAAAGGGCGGCCCAGAGAACGAGGATCTCACCTGGTGGAGTCTAGGGAGGGTATATGTTTGCAACCTTACCCTTGCAAGGAGAGAAGTTGTCACCAGAATTTGAACCAATGACCTCTAGGTCATTACGCAATTCTGGTAACACTACCACTACTACTCACTAAAATTATATAGACTTAATTACAGTTTTGATCCTCCTAGTTTGGCACTCGTTCAATTTTTTCCCAAAATTTTAATTACGTGGTTGGTCCTATAATTTGGTACTTATTCGATTTTGGTTTCCCAACTTGTAATTGTGTAATTTTAGTCCTTTCTATTTATTAGTTGTGTGATTTTGGTTCCCCAACTTCTAATTGGGAGATTTTAGTCCTTGTAATTTTTAAATTTTGCATTTCTTAATCTTTCATTTCAAATGTAACCGAGTGATGAACTAGTTGTTTATTATGTTGAAGTGTCTATATTCATTTTGTTGTTAATTAGGTTGATGTGTTTATGTATCTATGTACAAAGAAGAAAAAATTGAGATGGATTCATTGGGAAGATTGAATGTAATACAAAGAAACCAAGGGCATTAAAGGGTGAAACTGAGAGAGAAAATATCGATACCAAATTGGTGCATATTACTGAGGGACAGAGTCAGCAACATAATTTACAGCCAGCTCAACAGTCTGTTAAAATTTGGATGGCAAGTTAACAGATGCAAAATTAAAAACATTAACAGATGCAAAATTAAAAACATGGGAGACCAAAATTATGCAAATATAAGTTAGGAGACCAAAATTATAATCATGCCAAATAAATAAATACTCTTCGTTTTGTAGCTTTGAACAACAATCCCCTACACATAATAGATTATATGAAAAAGCAATTTGGTTTGGAGTGTGGCTGATATCAAATTTGGTGGGTAGTCAAGAAGATGTCGGATATTGTTGCGGTAACAAGTATGAGCAAAAATGTCTCACATCGGGTACAAATGGAGAAGTTGAGCAATATGTAAGTAGCAAGGACACATAATCTAATGCCTTAAGTTTATGGGTTGGATGCGAGATCTAAGTCTATTTGTATGATTTGCTCATGTTCCATCGAAAGAGATCTCTACAGTGTTTCATCTAGGTTACATCCAGCTTGAGATGAGTATTGGAAATGGTGGATCCATGTGAGGGGATCATTATATCGAAAGTCTTCGTAGCAATGCGGATGTTATCAATGGAGAAGTTTAACAATATATAAGTGACAATGACCCATAACCTAATGCCTTAAGGTTTTAGACCCCTATTAAGCCTCAACAGATAAAACTAAAAAAATATAACAGTGAAGTTTTATTTTAATTGAATGAACTTGCTTTCAGTTGAATTTTATGGGGGGTAAGATGGTGTCAACTGTCAACAACTTCTGTCACGGGACAAGGAAGTGGATTACATTATCTAAGTCATTTTCCCATGTTTGTCCTTTTTTGCTTAGCGTTTAAGGAATTTGCAAAACTTATTTTCAGTCGTAAAAACTCCTTTCAAATGACTCCTTGATATTAAAGGAAGGATTCCCTTCAGCTAAACCATATGGTAACTTTCAATGAATGTATGGATTTACAAAAGTTAAAAGCTGGAGAAAAAGGGAGGTGGAACTTTTTGATATATCTAGTTCTTGAAAAGTTACCTGGAGAAGGATGTTAAAGAGATATACAAAATCATTCATTGTTCTAAGTATAGCAAGTGCTATTGTCAATCTCCAGTTGATAACAATACAATTATAATCCTGCATACAATAAATTGGAAAAAAGTAGAATAAATTTTTAAATAGAAGTAGGGAAATAAAAATTACTAGAACTTGCAAGATTTTGGAAAAAAAGGGCAGAAGAACCATACCTGCTGCACATACAATACGAAGAAAAATAAAGGATCCAGAAAAATTGCCACCAAGCAACAAATGGCCAAAATCTTGTTCCATTGTTGTACAAATTTTGTGTGAGGGTTCATAACTCTAGGAGCATATGAGGAGCAGAAAGAAAAAAGTTTTCTTGCAAAACCTTTGGCATCCCCATAAAGAGAATTACGGAACTGTAAACATCCAAAACATGAACAAGAGTACACAAGGTTATGTGAAAGTGACATAGATGATAAATGTCTACAAAAGGGAATTGAAAAGAATACAAGAAGATCAAGTATAATGATACAGCAAAGCTTCTCGGATCCCTTAGAAAATATGTATTCAATAAATAATGTGACTGCTTGAAATTTTCAACTGATAATAACTTCCATTGCCACTCTAAGTTAACAATGATAACAAACAATAGCAGTATTTTTAACAGTAAAAATAACAAAATTCATTCATGCAGCTTTAATATGAGAAGTTTGTTAGCAGTGGAGTAAAAGGGAAAGGTTGGAAGTTCTTGTTAAGATATTGGTTGTATCCAAGTAAAGGGTATAGCGATCACTTGGTAGATGTTAATACTATTATAAATAGAGGTATATGATTAGCATTAGGCATTACAAAATTACAAATATTCAGAATCTATTTAGTGAATTACATTTGCATTTTCCAATCTCTTCTATCTCAATGTTTTCCTATCTTCTTCTTTCCATCTTGTCAACAAGATTCATTAATGATGTACAGCAATTTCACATATTTTGATGCAACTCATAGTTGAAATACAACAAAAAGTTATAAGCTATATGTCCAAGAGAAAATTTTAACACAAGTGATCAAAGAAGGGTGCCTAGAAATTTCTTTCCCTGTTTGTTAACATAAATTTTTCAAGAAAATGTTGGAGCATTGCCAAATCAGTGCTCAAAATAATTTCTAGACTACACATTATATAATAAATTCTTTACTTTCACAAAGCACATATATAGAACAAGTGTATTTCTATGCACTAAATAATTCAAGGAAACTGAAATAATACTCTATTTAAAGAGGAAAGACAGATACCTTGGTTGTGAAATCAAATATACTTGAAAATTTATCAGTGCTCAAAAAATTTTCTAGACTACACATTATATTGTAAATTCTTAGCTTTCACAAAGTACATATATAAAACATATGTTTGGCTATGCACTAAATAATTAAAGGAAACTGAAATAATAGTCTATTTAAGGAGGAAAGACAGATACCTTAGTTTTGGACTCAAATATATTTGAAGATTTTGAATTTCTTGACTGAGAAGCATTGAAGTAAGTAGGGCAAATAGTACAATAAGGATCATTACACATTCCCAATCGCCCTGACCTCATTAAGTGTTCATTTTTATTTTCATAGTTGTTGTTCCAGTAATTTGAACCCATGCTGTTGAAAGTAGAAAATTCTTCCACCTTTCTTTCCACCTCTTCATTTCCTGTTACAACTATACTCTGCTGCAAAAGATTTCCAGTTTCAGTGGTAGCATATAGTGGAGCCCTTATCTGCCTGAAGGGAGTTTTCCTCTCACTCCAAAGTGGACCAGTATGTCCCATAATACTAGTTTCTCTCTCATATGGTTCCATGGAAATGGAAAATTCAGCACTTTGAGTCCTAGACAAAGGACTTTGGAATTTAGAATCTAATGGTTCACCATATGATTGTGCATGTGTTTTTCGCAGCATCCATGGTTCATTGTCTTCAAAATTTGCCATGCTTCCTTGATAGTTCAGTGATTTTTGAAGAAACTAACAAAACCTACAATGAATATCTCTGCATCATATGAAAAATTTTAAAATAAAAAATTTATTTTAACTTGAAATTTAAAAGGGTATAAGTTACAGAACAGTAAGTAATGAGTGCAATATGAAAAATCCAAGTATTGTAGTAACACTCTGATAGACACTTTCAACACACTTCCATTATTGGTTGAAAGAAAAATGTAAGCAACACATTATGTAACACACTCCTTTGCTCTTGACTGACATTTATTGAAACTCGTGAAATTCTGTGTAAGACTCATTAAATAAGGAGTGAGACCCATATTATTTGGTAAGTCCCAAACTCCCAACAAATTTCAGCAAATAATAAAGAGAATGTTAGAAAGAGTACATTAAAGAGTATGCTGCTAGCATTCCTCTTGGATTAAATCCATGTGCTTCCTACTAATGAAGTGAGTCTCACTCCTTGTTTAGCCTAACCCATATAAATTTCACCCAAAAATAGTGTGTTTGATAACATTTTTTACACACTATACAAAAGTGACAGAGCCAAATAGAACTTTATGGACCATAAGGGAGCTGATATTCCCTTTTTCTTACACTTAGTAGTCCATATGAATTCATAACTAGATCTCAATCGGCTGTAATTTGTTTTCTCCCAGACGAAGACTTTTTTTTTTAATAAGCACAAGAGTTTCATTAATTAAGCACTAGGGGTGCTTAACCCAAAATACAAGTATTGAGTACCATATATACTAAGTCTCACAAATCAACCGAAAGAAAATAAAAAAAAAATAAAAAAAAAAAATATATATATATATATATATATATGCTCTAAAGTAATAGCTCCCTGTTATCATGCAAGAAAGAGCAACTCCATGGTAAGGATAGGTTCAGAGCACCAAGCAAGGAATGAGAAGCAGGCTGTTTTAGCACGAGTTGCAAGAGCTTGCCATGTCTTCAATTTAATCATCTCCATTACTTTCAGGGCATCCAATTCACAATTAGAAAAAATAATTTTATTTCTATGCTTCTAAATACACCACAATGTTAAGCTCCAAATAACTAAAGTTACTTTCCACCTTTTCTTATCCGGTAGCAGCTCAAAAAAACCAATAGCGTTCTGTACTAAGGAAGAATATGAGCATATTGAACGATTCAACCAAGCTGAAATGTCCTCCCAAATGGACTTTACGAAACTACAATCTATGAATAAATGTACAGTGTTCTCTACCTCTCTTTTACAAAAAATACATATATCATTCTCTAAAATATGATTTAGTCCCCTTCTAATAAGATTGACTTTGGAGGGAAAAGAGTCATGGATCACCTGCCATATAAACACTTGGACTTTATGAGGAACTCAACAGCGCCATACCTTGTTCAAAATTTGAATGCTTAAAATGTTGAAATTTGGTCCTATATCCACATTGCTTTGTATAGTGCAATACCCAGATTTTGTAGAAAAACCTTTAATCCTATCACTCATCCAAATCCATCTATCCAAAGTGTTTGGGTGAGGTCGGTAATCCTGCAAAATAATAAAAAGGTTAGTAGCAACCTCCTCCTCCCATGGTCTAAGTTTCCTCCTCCACCGAATCCTCCATACCCATTTATCCTCTACCCAAAAACCATTATCTGACACTACACTCTCCTTATTTAGTGCCAAAGCAAACAATCTTGGAAAGAGAGACTCAAAACTATCCATGCCAAGCCACACCTCACTCCAAAAGCTCATATTCGATCCATCTCCTAATACTTTCTTCACACCATTTACAAACCAGTTGTTTGCAAGGTAACCCACTCTTCGAATGTCCTTCCACCAGGTTGAAGCTTTAGGATTTCTGAATGGAATATTTGGTGTAGCAAAAGAGAGACCGTGTCGTGCTTTTAGAATGTCTATCCACAAGCACTTTTGATTCTCCAACGCTCTCCAATTCCATTTTCCTAGTAATGCCCAATTCACCCTCTCAGTATGTTTCACTCCAAGTCCCCCTTCCTCTTTACTTTTACACACTTCCTCCCACCTCACCCAAGGTATTTTTTTTTGTATCCTTCACGCCTCTCCATAGAAAGTTCCGTTGGATACAAATAAACTCCAATACTACTTTCTTTGGCATTCTATAAAAGGAGATGTAATGGATCCCAGACAAAGACTTCAAGTCTTCAAATTTTAAGAACAATGAAACTGATATAAGATAGTGAGGATGACGGATGCTAAAAGTGATTAAAAGAGCACTTATCAATTATGATTTTAGGCCGAGTGCAGTGAAGCTTACTTACTTGAGTTACTTCAAAAAGCAAAAAACATTCAATAACAATCAAGTAAGACAAGAGAGGTGCAACCAAAAAGAATAGTAATACCTGTTTGAAGCAGATATCTCAATCAAAAGTCAAACCCCCCTCCGCCCAAAACACATTATGCCAAAGCATGCTTTTTTAGAGAGCATGTTGATCATGGATGGATCAGAGATGAGACTATCACATAAAGGATGAGAGTTGAAGGAGACAGAGGATAAATATGGGAAAATACCAATATGAGAGCTTGAAAAAGTCAGGTGTGACCTGAGAGGGATGATGAAAGAGTGATGGAATTCTCATGGTCATTGAGCCTCATGATTTGTTCCAAAGCGTTGGTATGAACGCAACAAAATTAAAACAATATGATATAACTATAATTATAATGTATTATTATAATATAATGTAAAGATCCCGCTAACCAATGTCTTAAGGATACTAGTTAACAAAATTAATAAATAGTAAGTTCTTATTAAAAATTTCGGGATCAATACATGTTTACATTTTTCAATTAAAAAAATTTACTTTGAATTCTTTAATCAGCACACATTGCTCAGCATTTTGCTAATATAAAAGCATTTCGTTTACTTTTAACTTCCATTTGTCTTGCATGCTTTTTGTTTTTTTGTTCTGTCTTTGGATTTGATGAAGTAAGAAAGAGAAACCAAACGTTGTAGCATTGTTTGTTACTTTTTGTCCCAATGATGTGTTTGTTTTAGTTAAGGTTAAGACAAGTGCAACTGACACAAGTTGTTGAGAGTCCTACACAGCTCTGTCTTGGTTTAGGCAGTATTCAGTAAATATTCATCTTGGGATATGGTTACGTGGCCATTATATTATTACTAATAAATATGGTTGGTGTCACATATCATTTCCGCAGATTTAATATTGCCCAAAGATTTCTGGTCAAACAATTTAGATGGCTGAACCAGATGGAAGCCGTAGTAGCCAATTAATGCATATACGGTTGTTCTATTATCTTAATCTTAATCCTATCTTACTCTTAATAATAATAAAATACTCTTTAGAATACATATAAGAGATGACATTTCAGTTTTCGCCAACAGAATAAGAGACAACATTTAATAAATTATATCAATTTTACTCTTTCCTAATTTTAATCTTAAACAGAAGTAGTTTTTTTTTGCAATAAACTGGAGTTTGAGATGCTTTCCACATAAAATAAAATAAAATTCTACAAAACCACTAAAAATAGAATGAGTTTTTTTTTTCTCTTTCAATGAATAAAACATAGAAAATACCTTTTGGATAAGCTAATTTTAGGAGGTTTTGTTGTTTTACTCTAAATCTCAAATTTCATGAATAATATCTCAAATTAAACAAATTTTAACTTAGTGATAACTTTTAAGTTGAAAAATTATAAAATTAACTAGTAACTTTAATTTTAAAACATGTTTATTTGGAGATGTATTTGGAATATAATAATCAATTTATTTTTAATTCTCTCCCAAGAAACTAGCAAAAATAAACAATTCTTTTTCAAAATGTTAAACTAAACATACGCTTAAAGCTTTATTTTTAAGTTTAACTTCAGAGTAACTTTTATGATTAAAAGGCCAAATCAAATGTTATCCCAAAGCCTAAAAAAAAAAAAGGTGGATTGCTATTTGGACCAACCTTTTTTAGTTACTCGCACTACTTATTTTATTGTGATTTTTTAAATTAATTTTTGAAAGTGTATAAATCTGGAAGTGATCTGCAAATGTCTATATAAATTTAATTTTTGGAAGGTTCTAAATCACTTCCGAAATTAAATTTTGAAAGTGATAATAGAAAAGGGGATACAAATAGCAAAAAAAGCTGGTGCAAAAAGTAAGCTCCAAAGCAAAGCATGTATAGAAGCCAATTGAAGGAGTTTCTACTTTAAAGAAGAAAAGTCTGAAAGAGTTGCGTCAAACACTGCATAAATATTAAAGATACTTGCTTACTCTTAATTAAAATTTGGTCAATCATAGCATACATGAAGCGGCTTTAGCACACTATTTTTTTTTTAAAATAGCATCTTCCATAGAACTAGATTCATGATTCTTTTTCTTGCATATTTATAAAGGTAAAATGCAATGGTTCCGGTTACAAGCCCCGTACAAAATAAACGGTGTATCATATTGGCATATAATTGATATAGTGATTCATTGCATGCTTAAGATACAAAAAATGTTTCTTGTTTTGGCTACTCAGTATTGCATGCTGTGTATGTGGGTGGAAAGAAATAAAGTAAGTTACACAAATTAGTTTATTGATATCCTCACACCAAATAATCGAATTAGATTGTACATTAGATTGTACATTATTTGAAAATGACTAGTATGCTAAAAACTGGGATGGTCTAAATATTCCTGAAAATTCTTGCTCTAGCTGGACCATTCGTATCTAAGTGCATTGAGATCCCAATATGAATAATATTGAGATACAAACTCTTACCCCTAAAATAAGACTATTTTGATCTTTCGATTATATCATGAAAAATGAGTATAAATTTTTAGCTGCTAATTAGTGTATAAAAATAGGATATTTGGATTTTTCTTTTTTACCCTTTCAAGGTAAGGAGCCACAGTATATATGTTTGTAATAAATCTTGTTTTGAAGAGTTGAAAAGCACTGTTTCACTGTACAATTCTTTACATCTGCCCTTTTTAAAGGCATTTTTTAGATGAAGACTATGGTTTTCTTCAGAT